AATAGTAAGTGACTACCGTCGCCCATGATCACCCATAACACCAACATCATTGCAGGTGTGCTTGTCTTCAAGATAAGAGTTTATTCCTTTTGTAAACGCCGATAACACATTTGCAATGCCTCTGAAGTTTGGGTGGGTGACGGTAGCCACTTACCAATAGGTAAGCCGTATACACATTTACATCCTGTGTTATAAAAAAAAACAATATTATGTATATTATGAAAAATAACACACAGTGCATTTAAATTATGTATGTGATTTTAAATTATATAAAACTAGTAAAATTTTTCGGCTTAATCCACGTGAAATAGGATATAACCAGCTTCATACAAATGAATTCATTCAGTAGTTATTGCATGAAAAAATAATAAACATTCATCCATCCATACATCCTCACCAACATTCACATTTACAATAACAGTGCACTATGTCCTTCGCTGTTTTGAATAGTGCATTCAATAATAATAAATATATCTATATATTCACATATTTACTTAAATTATACATGCTATCGCCGCGGGTTTTGTACACGTAGTGTTATTTCCCCTTTTAGTGTTATTTCCACTTTATAAAATAAATCGTCAGTCGGGACTAACGATTTTATTAGTTTTAATGTATTTTTATTAAAGATATATATTTTACAAAAACCCCATTCAAGTATTATATTATAATACACTTACTACTGCGTACATATACTAAGCAAATTTTCTTATTGTAATTTGCAAACTACCCTACAAACTGCCACATTATTCACAAATTACGACGATAACCGTTACTATATCCCGCTCTAATCTTCACCCTTTCATATTCAGAGGACCCTATTGAACTGGAAGCGCCGAGAATCCATAAAATTTTATTTACAGAGCATATTGAAGATCGTAAAAAAATATTTACGATAATTCACTATATTTCCTTCTGAACTATATCACTACATCAAATAAAGATTTGACATAATTATAATTATGCCGAGAAATCCTCAATTCGTCTGAATCTTCAACCGTCTTAAAAAAAAAATAGAGGTTTCAATTAGGTTGTTTTTTTTTATTTTTCATACCTCATAACTCCGAAATTTATGAACCAATTTGGAAAATCCTTTTTTATCTTAAAGGATATATTATTCAAAAATTTTATCAAATTGGGGTCAATAGTTTTATTTTTTGTTGCTTATATTGAAGCCCCTTTATTCTTTGCTGAACAAAAAACTAGTAGCGAAACAAAATTCGCTTATAGTGATACAACTGCGTATTCTAAATTTAAGTACAACATGGCAACACCAGCCAACAACTTTTTAATTATTAAATTAGCAACACTGGTAACGCGGAGAAAGTTTTTTTCCCGCCATTTTTATTATAATTGTTACATTGTATTAAATGTCACGTACAGTTTCATTTAACTTCTAATAAAAAAATTAAGTACATTATTGAAGAAGTTTAAATCGCATCATCTAGCCTACCTACCTACTTTCCTGCCTACCAGTAATTTCACAGTCCACATTCACAACATTTCCAATATAATGTGCTTACGTCTTAACGTACGATACATCTAGTCGTTTATCAGTATTTTTTATTAATTTATTATCTGAAGTTGTTACCGCGAACCAAAATGGACCCTTTTATATTGAGTTATGTTAATGAGTTACCTGCTTACGCACATCTGTTGCCCGTGTCGACTTAGATTAGTGAACTAATCAATCACCAAAACTATTCCTAGTTCGGCGCACCAGATGTTATTTCTATTCAATTAGCCATTTGATTGAAGATTGTTTAATAACTTTCTAATCACCAATTTAATAAGGTACTAATTAGAATTCTAAGGTCTTTCCGAGAAGGCAAAATTCAAGCTTAACAAACTTAATATGAGACCAAGATGGGAGTAAGCGTTTACAATTACAAAAGTAATCAACAAAATCGGCGAAGACACCACATAATATATACCTATTAAAACACGTGGAGGTAATAAAATTGCAATAAAACAGACACTAAATCTACGACGTGGCCTAGTATAATATAATAATTATCTACTTTTATTTTACCCAGGAGCATTTTATTTATAACTTTTCAACCGATTTCAAAAAGAATTGGATTCCCAATTCGGTTGTATTTTTTTTTATTTGTTACTTCATAACTCCGTCAGTTGTGAACCGATTTGGAAAATTCTTTTTTTTTTTATTTTATCTGAAAAAATATATTTACAGATTGATCCCATACCAATTTTATCAAAATTGGTTAGGTACAGTTTTTAAAAAAAAATTATCTGTTTTGCCACAATTGTGGAACTCAATCTTAATTATATGTATATACAAATGTGAATCTTGGAATTTTTTGTGCAAAATATATACATACATACACATATTGTTCAATTTCGCCAAGTCAAGTTTCATAAGTCCGCCGTTGTATATTAAATCTTTTAATGTTGGACACATATAAATTATGTACAATAAAGATTTTACAATACAATACAATTGACCAATTTCTTTAGGGGCTTGATATTTTTTTAGTTCATACTTACGGATAAGCAGTACTCATATATCTTTATTTTAAGCCAACAAATACATTTATAACAACAACAATCTGGCTAGCTCCAGCTCATAGGTCACGTAAGCTTTTTATAGATAAGTAGGTATACCAATATACCGAGCACAAATCCTGCCTTAAAATTTTGCAACCTCGCACTGGAACTAAGCCAAATGCAGAGGAACTAATCTAGATTTCTTTGAGAAAGCTCCAAAAGTCTGTACTAATAAGATGACAATAATATTATAAATGTTAAAGTTTTTATCCAAGTTTTTAAAGAGGTGGCAATGCGCGCATTAAAACGCTGGTGTGGCAAGTATACATAAGCTACGGCAACCGTTTACAGTAAGACAAGCCGTATACTTATTTGCCACCATATTAGTATAAAAAAACAAACAAGCTAACGGCCTACTTGATAACAAGTGGTAACCTTTGCATGTAAGGAAAAGAATGAATTGATAATAATGGTGATTAGTAGCCTCATTGCCAACAATATACCCTATCAGGTCGACCTCCTCGGTTTCCCCTGAAAAGCATCGTGTTCTCTTCCAAGTGAATTCATCACGATGGGCTAACTGACTTGCTTTTTCAATCTCACCTATCATCCCTCACCGGTGCCCCGCTAGCGTATACCGTTAGTGCAGGCAGAGTTACTATTCCATTATCATCCATTACAAAAATACCATCGGCTATAAGTAAAACCATTGACATGACAAAATACTCTGTAACGTCTATGGTATCCGTTTATTATGCGTTGAAGATTATGATGAATAGACCACATGCATCTTAACCGCTTAAGCAATAATGCACAAAATTGTCAACACTTTGCTACACTAGTTTTTATCCGCATATTGTTGATTAGTATATACCAATAGAACAGGCGAGAAAGAATTTTATATTTATTTTTACCTATTGCTTACCACATCAGCCGTTAACTGTCCACTGATGAACATAGGCCTCGGTCTGTTGGGAAGTTTTGCTAGTTATTGTGAAATTTAGGAAGCTGGTTGATAACAGCAACTAGGCAATGGTGATTTTTTAAGAGGCGTCCCTCGTCTAAGAGGCTTTGCTCATTGCTCATTGCTCGACCATTAAGTCCCTGTAGTCACCTCTTACAATATCAAAGTAAAGGATAACCCGTTCTATGCCGGGACCACATAGAAACTGCTTATTAATAAGGAAATAAATACCAACACGAACTAGGTATATTTGAACAATAATTAATACGTGATTTTACATGAAAGCTTCGTCTAATGTAAAATCACGTATTACAGCTTATGAAAGACTCGATACATTATCATAAATAAAATTGTTTACATTTTTCATGAAAGGATAATTTACGAAATATATTACTCGCGACTTTGTTGTAACATACATGTAGATATAGCAAAAATAGTGATTGATTCAGCCATTACAGCGCTATAAGGTAACATACAAACAAACTCACTTTCACATTTATAATATTATTTTTATATATTAAAGTCACTTTAGTACGAGTATTTTGATAATATCCACGTAAAATTTTAAATCTAATTTTCACTTTTTAATTACTTAATATGCATATTAAATAAATGAATTACGCACTCGGTTGTAGTAAATTGAAGAATTCACTTGGTTGACTTAAATACTCATAAATGACTAAGTTGCCTGAATTAATGAACATGTACCATTCCATATTATTACGATAAATAAGAGTTCATGCGAAAAATGTTCACCATTACGCCCATGCCATTGCTTTGTAAAGCAAAAATTATGCAGACCTTTTAGACGGTAGTCTAAATGCTCTTAAATGAATATGTATGGGAAAATAACTAACTTAAAACATGTCTGCAGCGAAAAAATATGTGCTGTTGTTGTACTAGTTCTAAATACACATTTTTACATCTTTAGTTTCCGAACGGCAGACCTTTTTTTTATTCGCTTTTTTTTTAGGTATTAAAACTTATTCTTAAACATGAAAAATAAATTTAAATTACAATGCATACATATGCATTGTTCTATTGATATTTGACAATGCTTATATCGTTCTATTAGTATTAAATAATATTATAATTGTTAATTTCTAGCAATGTATATGCAAATGCAATAGGTATGATTTTGCACTATGTATATATATATATATATATATATATATATATATATATATATATATATATATATATATATATATATATATATATATTTTAATATGGGTTTTAATAATTATAACTTTCGTTTATTCCAGGAATATATTTTACAAAACTATTAATGTAACGAATTATTAACACGAACTTCAAAATTTGAAGATAATGAAAAAATATTATCATTTCACTTAAAGATTTAAGATAAAAAAACTTACTAAAAAATTAAAGTTTATCTCTTAACTTTATATTTTAATTTAATAATTTAGCGAAATTACTTTTATATGAATCATCATAAACTAAAATTGTAATAATTTCGACTTAAATTAATTACAAAATTAGTTCGTATTGTTCCTTACAATAAAGATTTCGCTGTGATATCAAATTGAAATTTTAAATTAAGAGAAATGGATCCTCAGAATCGTCGCCTCTATTAACTTCATAATATAACAACAAATACAATTATAAAGCCATTAGATTGTGTTTCAGTATAACCTTGATATATCTTGTAGTGTTTTAAAAATAGTTTTAAAAATTCAGTCCGATGGCAATAATCCATCAGCAATCATCTTCAGCCGCTTAACTTCCTCTCTGGCTCGTCTCTCAGCTTCTTTTTTCTCCTGTTCCACCTTTTCTTCTTGAGCTTTCTTCAATGCCATCGCAGCTAATGTCTTCTGATCCAACTTGAAGAAGTTTATCGGTTCTTTAATATATCTCTCATCTTTATTGTTCATATTTTCTACAAATTTCGGATAGCAGAATCTCCCATCGTCTGCATTATAAGTCTTATCTTTTATAGCTAATTTAATCCAGTCAACGAACTCAATTTCAGTTAATGGCTCTCCCCATGTCATAAGTGCTTCTCTGAGGAGTTCGAAATCTACAGATCCTGTTTCATCATCATCGTGTCCTAATGCAGCAAAAGCTTTAGTAACAGCAAGTTCAAAGTCATCTCCCCAATTCATCTTGGCTTCAATCATGAACAACCACTCGTGATACTCTACAGTGTCGACCAATTCATCCTCTAAAAATAAAGTGAAAAGTTGACGAATTTCTGCACTTTTTGGGTTAAAACCCAGTTTTCGTAACATTAAAGGAATTGCATCTAGGGGAACCTGTGAAAAAATATTTAATACCAATATATAATAACTTTATGTGCAATCAATGAGAAGAAATGACTAAAGAAACACATTCATAACTGAGTATCTTTCACATGTTGAGCTAATAAATAATATTATAAGTATTATATTTACGGCACACTGCTACGAGTATCTTCCATAAGATCAAAAAAAAAATATATAACAATTTCATTTAAGTTACCATTTAAGTATACTGCGTCATCAGATGCAATTTTACGACAATACATCAAGTTTTTCCGAACACTTTTGTCACTAAGATTAGACAGAAAAATATTTGCGTATTTTCTAATGTATTTGTTTAGTTTGATTGTTACCTTATCAATATTCTCTTCATCGTGTGCTTTAAACGTATCCTTAAACTTAACCAGGTCTTCATTAGTGAAGCATACAGGTGGAGGCGGTGGTTTCTTCGGTTTTAGTGGTGGACCCATTAATTTAACTGGCGGAGGGGGTTCTTTACCTTTACCTTTCCCTTTCACTTTGGGAAGCATCTTACTTGATAATTTTAATAATACACTCGGTTATTTACTTGGAAAACCCAAAATATTTAATCTGTTCATAAACTCAATAAAAGATGATCATGTCTCATGAAGAAATTGATGATAGATTTAAATATCCCATTTTGAGGATGGCATGTTTTGACAATCTTTTAATACGCTTCATCGAATTTTGTCATCTAGTAAATTTTGTAAGTAAAAAAGTTCTTAATGCAATAAATGTGCATGATGACGTAGACCAAATAGAATACAATATAATGTGTCATGTCACTACCCTTTATCCTTAAGATGTCGAAAAAGTAATGGCACAAGCACAATACTACAGTTCATGTAAAAAATAACTTGAAATAAAAGTCAATATCGAACCGCTGCACATGGATAGAAACCTTTTATTAGAAATGTGAGGAAAACATCACTTTCGCTTCCATAGTTTTGTTTTTTGGTATTCTTACATAAATGAAATTTCGGTGCTTTCAAATAATTATTATTCTACTGCTTCTAAATCATGAACATCGTACACTGTACGCTCTCCGAAGAAGACGAACTGGATGAAGTCGAAACTATGGTCAGAAACTACGAACAGTAAAAACAGAAAGTAATTTTCAAAAATAATATGACATCTTTGATAGATAGATAGATAATTTATTTGCATAACTTACAGCACACAAACAAAAAACACAAAAGCAATGTGAAAAAAGATAAAAAAGATACATGTACAAAAGATTAAAAATAAAATAAAACCAAAAACAAAATCAGAATGCATAATAAAAATTTTTTTCTTCATGCGTATACCACAGTAATGCAAAATGGCCACAACTCAGCTTTTTGCTTTGCCCTAAAAAGAGCAAAACACTGATATTCTGTTGTGGCCAAAAGTGAGCCGCGAAATGCCACTAAAAAAAAAAATAATAAAAAAGAAAGAAATATAGATCAAATACATAGTGTGCGTTCGTTATACTCGCTATTTAGAAGAAGGGTAGTCAAAAGTAATTTCTATCAGTTTCAAGCACTCAAAACATAATGAATACCTAAATTATACAAATACAACTAGTTACATAAAAGCATATTAAAGAGGCAACACACACATCGCCAAACACATCCCTCCCAGCGCGCGCACAGTATAAACACACACACACACAAATAAATAATACATATGTGTATATGAGTATGCGTATGCTTTGGTTTAACCCTTATTTTTACACATTTATAAATATATCGGTACTCCTTATTGTGCACGCACGCACGCACGTACGCACGCACACACACCCGCACACACGCGCGCGCGCACACACACACACACACATACACACGTGTGTGTGCTCGCTTTCGACACACACTGGAACCTAAAAGGTCGTGTATAGTGCGGTTTCAGAAAAGTTACCTCCCGCGAATATTCAGGCTGTGGAATGAGCTCCTTGCCGAGGTTTTCCCTAGAGACTGCAGTATGGGATTCTTCACAAAAGGTATATAAAGGTTTCTTCAGGGTTGGCAACGCGCACGTATCACCCCTAGTGTTGCATGGGCGGCCATATCACAAAAATGTACTTTTACAGGGTACCTTTAGATGAAGAGGAATATATATAAATAGTTTGAATGGCACGATATTTTTTTCCTTTTTATGTATAATATAAATAGACATTAGAATAGCATCAAGGAAAGAGTTTTTACAATAGGAAGAGACGCGTTCTCAGTAATGGATCGAGTTGATAAAAATATACGCTTTCTTAGTTATTCTTACATAAAAAATTATATTGATCGATTTCTACACCGTAGCTTAAGAATTACTCGAAATCCACCCACGTTACAATTTATATCTTCCCATATTATACTAATAAATGTTAAAGTTAAATTGTCTATTCCACCACATTGGTGAAAGAAAAGGAATTAAAGAGAGGACGAAAAATATACCATCAGTTGCTATTTTTCTCAATTCATAGCAGGCTAGAAAATGTTATACGGACATATAACCCTACCAAATTCATATACAACCTTCTTGCATACTTTCGATATAATCCATGTGTTGAATATATATTTAGTAATGTAAATGAACAAAAATTTTATATACCTACACATTTTCTATACACTAACCTGCTATGAATTGAGTAAAATAGCAACTGATGGTGTATCTTTCGTCCTCTTTTTACTAATTATATTTGCATAAGAAGAAAGGAGGCAACCATATGATTTACAGTTTTTATTTTATCATTTCTTCCATGTAATTCCTTGTTCTTAACACTAGTCTGCTGTGAATTGAGAAAAATAGCAACTGATGGTATATCTTTCGTCCTCTCTTTACTAATTATATTTACATAAGAAGAAAGGAGGCAACCATATGATTTACTGTTTTTATTTTATCATTCCTTCTATGTAATTCCTTGTTCTTAGGTTGAGATTTGCCTAACCTTTTTTCTTATCTTTCATTGTCTAATACAATATTTTTAATGTAAACCCTAACATAAATAAAACAATAATATATACTTGTTCAGAAAATTTTGATATACGTCTCACACAAATACATTCTGTTTTCATAATATGTTAAAACAAAAGGAAAAACGTTTTTGTCTACAAAGGATTTTAAAACTCAAAATGCCTAGGAGTTGAAAACGTTGCTTGTATATTTTTTATTTGCAAATTTAAGTCCTTAATTTTTTTAATGCTTTTGCACTTATGTGAAAGTATATATATTTTTTATTAAATATATTATATATTATCAAAGATTAGGTCTTGTTCTTAGTATATTATTTGTGCATTGTGAGAAGTTTGTAGTACAAATGACAGCTAACATTCTGCTGATAATTTTAACACTAAACACTGTATCAAGAGAGATTTGTTAAGTCGAAATCACTCTATTAGTATATTACTGCAGCGGCCAGCAACTGAGGCATTGATGGACGAATGTTCAAATGTAGGCCGAGGCGTAGCCGAGGCACACATACGTGAGTCTATCAATACTTAGTTGTTCCAAGGCTTGTATTTTTTCAAACAATGCGCGGAAATCAAAAACACAATTTTACTTTTTAAGTTCAATGACGAATAACGAACAATAATAATCTTTCACGGGCCATAATGTTCCTTTATTTTTTTTTTTTCAACAAACAGCTTTCTATTTGCAAGCCAGTTTGAAATTTAAATAAAACCTTGTATTAGTTACCTTGGTAGACATGTTTCGAAATAAAAAGTCATTCCATTTTTAAATTACAGGACAGACATGAGTTAACATAGTAATTTATCTAGCCGCAAAACACGACAAATATGGATTTTCATACAACTTTTGGCGGCCGCTGCCCACATATACGCCAGTACGGCAATTTAGATTTATCTCGAAGAAGATTGTAAAAATAATGCTCACATTTCCAAGCATGTTTGTGAAAATATTTTTTTTATATTCTGTAACTTACAAATAATAAGTTATATTTAAATAAATTATTTATATAATAATATTTGGTGATTTCACGCAATTGTTAATTTTTTAATCTGTCTTTCATATTAAAAAAAAATCGAAGTCCGTAAACCTGGTATTAAATTGGCAACATTACTGACGCCGACTTTTGACAGTTGCTCATGTCATGAGTCCTCGTTTGCAATTTTGTGTGAATTCAATTTATAGAAAAGTCCCCGTTCTTCATAATTAATCACTCAAATTAATTTTCAACAAAATGGTTGCGAGAGTGGCTGGAGTTTTTGATGAAAAATTGACTGAGGCCATTGCCAATTCTAAAATATTGGTGGTTGGCGCCGGTGGCATAGGTTGTGAAATTCTTAAGAATCTCGTACTTACCGGCTTTCCACAAATTGAAATTGTATGTATTATTTATTTTTTTGACTATACTAAGCATAAACATTATTTATATAACAAGTACTGGCCGAAAACATGATTCTTACAGTGTGTGATTTTTGTAAATATCTTCTATGTGACGTCGACTTACGATGCTACTTGCAATTGCGTATCGTATTAAAATTTATCTTTTGAGAACTTCATTTACACTATACTGCTTAGTGGCAGGAAAATGAAAAAAATTCTGCCATTCTTATCAACTGAGTTATATAGTAAAGCTGCTATTAATGATTGCTTGCACATTATTAAAGTTAATATTTAAATAAAGAAAGTTACCAATACACACATAAAAGTGCAGTTAAGCAATATAGCATTAACGCTAATATATCATTAAGACAGCAATTAACATAAATACACAAAGCCTCTTAGAAATAATAACACTTATTAATTTTTTTGCAGATCGATCTTGACACCATTGATGTTAGCAACCTAAACCGACAGTTTTTATTCCACAAGGAGCATGTTGGGAAATCTAAAGCTCAAGTAGCTAAGGACAGTGCTCTCAGTTTCAACCCCAATGTTAACATAATTGCCCATCATGACAGTGTCATCAGGTTTGTAATATTAAATCATCTTCCCATCACTGAACATAGGCTTCTGTCATAGATTGCCATAAGGAACTGTCCCAAATTTCCCAATCAAAATTAATGACATTATCACCTAATATTAACTATGAAAAAATTACAGGCATAAAAAAGGTTCTCCTTTTGAGAGTAGCTAAAACTACTTTATCACTGACAATAATTAGACAAATGCAATTACTTTATTGCTTAATTAATGTATTTACTATAAAATATATATAAAGGCAAATAAATAAATAAACTACATATACTTTTTTTTTCTTTAACAGCAATGATTATGGCGTGAGTTACTTCAAACAGTTCAATATTGTAATGAATGCTCTTGACAACCGTGTGGCACGAAACCATGTGAACAGAATGTGTCTCGCTGCTAATATACCCCTGATTGAAACAGGCACTGCTGGGTATGCTGGACAGGTAATCATTATTATTGTCACAGTTTTATAAGAAAAATAAACTCTAAATGTTTTAGAACTTCTCAATAAAAAAAAGAACAAAATAATAAAGAAATAATGTAGAGTGGTAAGAAATTCTAAAAAGTATTGTATTGTATAATCTTTATTTTTTAATTACAAAAACTGCAAAAATAACTAAGTCATATTGACTAATAAGTGTATAATGTGTTTTACTATACTTAGTACTATTAGTCAAGAATAATTTTGTTTTTGTGGAATATAATAATTAAAAAATAAAACAGACAGTTGCCACTTTCTATCAGATGGACTGTCAGCTTGTTTGCCATTCTAAGTTGCATTGAAAAAACAGGCAAGAAGTAATAGTAATAATTTTTATAAATGATAATTTAGCTTTTTTTTTATTTTATACATTATTATTTTACACACTGAAATCTTTTAAGAATTGTGCGAAACATTGAAAAACAAATTATGCAATAAAGTTAAATTTTACAACCATTACAACTCTCCATAGGTGGAACTCATCAAAAAAGGTCTAACCCAATGCTATGAATGCCAACCAAAAGCACCACAGAAAACCTTCCCTGGGTGCACCATACGTAACACTCCATCTGAACCAATACATTGTATTGTATGGGCCAAACATCTCTTCAACCAATTATTTGGTGAAGAGGACCCTGACCAGGATGTCAGCCCTGATACTGCAGATCCTGAAGCAGCAGGAGAGGCTGGTGCATCTGCATTGTCTTCAGAAAGCAACACAGCAGGCAATGTTGAAAGAAAAAGTACGAGAGCTTGGGCAGCTGAGACGAATTATAATCCAGAAAAACTATTTAGCAAGTTGTTTGGTGATGATATACATTATTTGCTCTCAATGGAGAATTTGTGGAAGAAACGCAGACCACCTACACCCTTGAACTGGAATGCTCTGCCAGGAAAAGATGACACGCCAACGCAACATTCGGGATTGCCAGATCAACGTGTTTGGTCTGTTTATGAGTGTGCACAGGTAAAATATACTTTAGTTCTTATTTATAGAAAACAGTTACTTAAATCATGACTAAATGTACAACAGATATAGGGTATTATACTATATAGCAAAACAAATTATCAAAATCGGTCCAGAATGACCAAAGAATTGCCAAAAATGTTGCATGACCAAACTAATAAAATAATACTGACTGAAAACTATACACATTTTCAGGTATTCGCAGCAAGCTGCGACGCTTTGCAAGCAGATTTGAAACGCCGCCCTGAGGGTGACCACCTCGTGTGGGACAAGGATGAGAAAAGCGCAATGGACTTTGTGACTGCATGTGCTAATATACGTGCACACATATTCAATATACCGCTCAAGTCACGTTTTGAAATTAAATGTAAGAATCCTCTTATAATATATATTACTAACAACCCACCCTGGCTCCACATGTTTTTTTTTTAAATATTGCCCATTTTACACGCCGATAATGTAGCACTTTTAGTAAGATGAGAGAATAGAGCTCCCTACCGAGGTTTTCCTAAGAGACTACAGCATAGGGTTCTTCAAAAGGGGGGAAAAGAAGTTTCTTCAGGATGGGCGACGCGCGCGTAATACCCCTGGTATTGCAGGCATTTATAGGCTACTGTAACCGCTTACCATCAGGTGGGCAGTATGCTTGTTTGCCACCTCAGTGGTATAAAAATATAATTTTTAAAATTAGCTAAATATTTTTTTGAGTTTATCCAATAGTAAACATTACACTCTTCATTATAATGTTATGTAATGAAGTTTAAAAATTTACTGCAAACTGTAAAGAAGCAATCATTAAATAAGTAAAATGTAAGTTGGGCCTAATTTCATCAGGTCTCACTTATGAGGAGAAGGGTCAAAAATCTATCATATGTCTATTTCTAATAATCCCAGAGACTGTGATCCTACATATTTCACAAAGGGTAAAGAAATTAAGGCATATTTATGATTTAACATTTGAAATGAATGTAATTAGAACTAGTATTTAAAAAATTAACAGTTTTCGGATCCTATTGTGAATTACTAAAGTTATTAGACTCTCAAGCTTAGTCATATCTCTGCCAAACTCAAAAACCACGATGGTTTTCAAAATGATAACAACCAAAAGGTTGACCTAACAACTAATACTGCAATAAGGTCCTTAAACCATGTTGCTAATAATTCCTTTCTCCCTGACACTACTATTATCCTCACAGCAATGGCGGGTAACATTATTCCGGCCATAGCAACAGCCAATGCGATCGTAGCCGGCCTGGCAGTGTTGCGCGCGCAGTCAATACTTAGAGGGGACATCGAAGCCTGCTCCAGCGTTTATTTAAGGCCGAAGGTCAACCATCGCGGGCAGTTGTTTGTACCCGAAAAAAGTAAGTTCAGTACAATTCAACTCTATAAATAATATTTTAAGTTTACACAATGTAATTTATTACTCCTTTTTTGTCAATTTCAGCACTCACTCCGCCCAATCCAAAATGCTATGTCTGTGCTCCGAAACCAGAAGTTGGACTCGCCTGCAACCTTAAACAACTCACTCTAAAAGATCTAACAGCAGCATTTAAAGATGGACTCAACATGCAAGCCCCTGATGCAACAGTTGAAGGTAAAGGTCTGGTAGTTTTGTCATCAGAACCTGGTGAAACCGACCACAACAATGACAAAACTCTGGAGGAAATAGGCCTCAATGATGGTTGTGCATTACTGGTTGATGATTTCTTGCAAAATTACGAAGTAAGGGTCAGATTACAACAAGAAGACGATGAAAAATCGTGGCGCCTAGTCACCGACGCTGATGCACCTAAGCTGGGCCCCAAGGAAGAAGAAAAGCCCACAAATGGTTCAAATGGGGCCAATGAACCCAAACCAGGACCTTCACGATCTAGACAGGACAGCGACAGTGACATGGAGATAATAGAAGAAGATGAAGATGGAACAATCGTGAAACCACCAAAACGCAGGCGTACAGAAATGAGCGACGAGGTTGTTGAACTTTGTTAAAGATCGTGTGTGCCTTGCCTATTCCCGCAGGCTATATATTAGTGACGTCGAAGTATCAATAATGTACAATTTGTTCGATGGGAATTTTGAATGCATATGCATCTTATGAGAAAGTAAATTAACTGCAAAGCTATGTCATGTCAATCAGGAAAGATTTATTGGGACATCACTCTGGGTAATGAAAATTTAAATTTCAAAAACAGAATTGCAGTCAGTACATGAAGATGATTAAATTTTGCTAAGTTGTTAATATAAATAAACAACTACTGCGGCATCATTACTTTATATAGAGCTGGTGTTCCCGAAACAAATTTTGGAAAAGATTTCTCAAATGTAGTCCTAATTTAACAGTAATTTTCTGTAATTGAGTAAACTGATATAGTTTACTTATTATATCAACATTATTGATAATGTATTTTCTAGAGTATGTGAACTTGTATGAAACAAGAGATAATCCAAGTATATTTTGTAGTTTTCTTAATTCATAGGAATGATGATCTTTATAAGAACAGCATATTTACACTAGTAAGTTTTAATGACTAAGTATCAGAATTTTGCAAATATATGTCTCATAAATAAGCTATTAGAGTTTTTGTCTTTCTCACTCGAAAATTGAATAACCATGAAATAAAGATTTCCCTATTGCTCAATAATTTATGACATAAAGATACAATTCATTATATCCCATATATTTCAATGGGTATTTTAAGGGAAAATTGTCATTTATTGACGTATTAGTAATTACCTAGTGTTTTTATGACGAATCTATATATGTATTGTTTGTCTTCATGACTAAATACCTAATTTTGATAAAATTTTGTGATGGGGTTTTTAAAAGTGATACAGTCATACGATTCGCCTGATGGATAAAAAGTAATTATCATAGACTCACAAAACATATTTACTGTCTATGTATAATATAAAGTACTCTTTGCTTACCCTAAGGAAAGTCTTTAATCATTACAAAATTCATTTCTTTTCGAAATACTAATTAATTGGTGCATTCCAAAACACGATTATTTACAAAAGTAAGTTTTGCACTGTATCCAACCATTAAGCTTCCCTGTCTCTGATGAACAATTAGATAGTCATGTAATATGGTGATAAACATCATATCAAACAATTGTACAACCAAAAGAATATAGAGTGGCAGCCTTCTCAAACCAAATATTTGATGCCACTTTTTCCTAGAAACAACAGCAGTATTCATTATTGTATAATAATGAATACTGCTGTTGTTTAACATTGATGTAAAAAAAGTATGGAAAGTAAGAAAATTAAAACAAATTTATTTCAAGTAATTTTAATTTCATTTTGAAACTTATAAGAGGTAGTTAATGAGTTTTTTAAACATTATGAATACCTTCATTCATGTAAAAAAAAGTATGGAAAGTAAGAAAATTAAAACAAATTTATTTCAAATAATTTTAATTTCATTTTGAAACTTATAAGAGGTAGTTAATGAGTTTTTTAAACATTACGATGGTATGGTTCAATGTAAAAAATTTCAACAAAACCACAGACAAGTTTTTATTACACAAGCTGGTCCCTTGCACAAGCTATATTGTACTAAAATCATGCCAGAGATAATTGAGAAGACAATAACATAATGTAGGGATATAATCAGATCATAGTACAAATAAAAAAAAACATTCATCAAATTATTTGATTTGTTGTTAGGTCATTTCATTTAGTGTTTCTGTGATAATTTCAGCAAAACTTAATTACCTTTAAAAAAGAAGAAAACAAAACTAATTTTACTATTCATTTCATACCTACAGCCTCAAAAATTATAGTTAAGTTTATAGTTAAAACTTCTACTTATTAAAAATATTATATTTTAAATGCCTCCAACCAATCAGACACACATCTTAAGTAAAATATGGCAGTACATACAGTATTTAAAACTTGATTGAATCACATTATTCATGAAATTTTTTGTGAACATTTTCCCTTATCTAATTAATTCTAAAATAATTATCAATAAAGTTGTTAAGTTAGTTTTATAAAGGAAATAGTTTTGAAAAAAAAAATTACTTTTCTGGTAACATTCCATATTCTATAAGGTAGCGCTCAATGTCTGTCGCAAAAAAATCATTGCCAAGCTCAGTAGCCAGCTGAATAAAGTTACCAATAATTTGACCAGCTTTATATACCAGCAATGCAGGTGTACCTTCCACACGGAAATGCCTGCTGAGGCCTGTTATATCTGCTGATATCCGGCAGAACTTCATTGTTGGGTAATCAACTGCCAAAACATTCAGACAACCATCCATTGTCTCGCATGCAACATTATTGCTGTATATATGAATAACAACAGTCACTTTGGGATCTTCTTTATCAATAGCATTCAAAAACTCCTCTTGGCTCTTTAATGTAACAACTTTACCAAATTTAGGAGTTTTCTGTAACTGTGACATCAACTCCTGCATTCTCTGCTGCTGGTATTTCATTAGAAAACCTTCATCAATTAACTCATTTAATTCATCTTCCAATTCGTCAGTTTCTTTAACTTGTTCTTCTTCTCTTTGTGTTCTGACAGACATAGTGAGTTTTTTCGCGAGTGCAATCCGTTCTTTTTCCAGTTCTGCCCGATTTTCCGCCTCTAACTGTTTGAATCTTCTCCAATCTTCCAAAACGCCTTTGGGCCCAGTATTACTAGCAGAACCCGTCCAGTTATTAATAGACGGCTGCTCAGCACAAACCTCGGGCTTAGGAGGATTGCCTTCCTCATCGCCGCTTCGACTATCTTCATAATCAGATTCGCCTTCATCTTCACTACTGCTACAATAGTTGTGTAATTTCTCGCCCAATATTTTATCATCCAATGTAGCCATCGTGCTTAATAATAATAAAAATCACTAACGCGATGCACAAATTATATGATTAAAATTAAAAAGAGGCTTTAACTTACAAACTCTCTACAGATATTTATTTAAAGAGCAAGTATATTATTGTTCGCATTAATAGCAACAATAACTGGCAAATTTAAAGAGGATGTAATTAAGCGTTATGACGAATCTTCTAAATGAATATGGTAAGTAGTAAATAAAGTTAACTATATAAGTAAAGTAATTGAAATTAATAAATGAAACTACACACCAGCAAAACCGAAAACTCACTAATTAATTATACATATATACACACACACACAACAGAGATGAATAGATATCTGTATAATGTCTGACGTTTGTTTGACAAATACGTACCGCACGTGGCTGTAAGTAAATAAGTAGGAAACGCCCTCTATATTAGATATGCGTTACCATGGATAGATACCTATCCATGGTAACGCATGTGTTTGGCTGCATAGATTACAAGGCTCACCATTTACAGACACGGTTACACATAATAATATACTACTAATTATACGGTCTATATTTACTAATCCGCCGTATTTGTCACTGATCACAAATTCGTAAATTATTCCAAATACCTATTTACTTGCAAATTAAAGATTTGCTTTATCTTTTTCATCTAGCAAACGCTTCATTGTAGAAGTGGGAAATATATTGCAATATCTATATACTTGTCCAACAACGAATATGACGTCTGTTATCCAAAAAATAATATTGAATAACATATTCGAAAATAAATATCCGACCGATATGGACGATATCGAAATAGGTGATGACCTTTTTTTTACGGTCAATATCCAAAGGAACCCAATATATATGTAGATATCGAATCGGTATCCATAATACCCATGCCTACTTCTTTGCCAAAAGCACAAGAGACGTTTATGATTATAATATAGACAAATATGACCGTTAATGATCATAAGAACTATTAATTTTCTATGACTTCTTGTTTTTGTTTTTTACAAAGGCAACCCATCACGTCATGTCACTTGTGTCATTTTCGAATTTTTAAGTTCGCAATGTTCTCATGTTTTTCTAGGTTATTTTAACCTGTTTATTTACATATAAATTCTCATTAAATTAATCTAATTAAACAATAACAATGAGTAAGTGTGGCTATTAAATAATTAAATTCAATTAAAAATTTATCTGATACGTATTTTTGTATATAATGATTATAAAAATTTACAGATCAAATATTGAATAAAGTTCGCGATGTAGACCCTAATAATAGTGAAGCAGTGAAGGAAACCTTGACTGGCTTCTTTCAGAAGCTCGACAAACATACTGAGGCGGATTCTATTAGATGGCTTCGTGCGTTAGAAAGTATAATCAACCGGTATTGTAACCTATAACAACTTATAAAATATTTAGTTTTAAAACTTCACTCCTCTATATTATACATCAAACATGTTTTATACAATTCCTGACAATTGTATGTCTTTTTCCTGTCAGTAGAAAATATTCGGAATGACTGTAAATAATATCAATATGTTAAGTTACAGCTTTTACCTGCTTCATCTGTATGGTTGTAATATCTTAATCAACTGAAATAAAATGTAGTCTATGTCTTTCTCTATCCCAAACAGTACTTGTTTATCTAATTTTGTGGCTATTTATTATGCTGTTAAAGTGCCAAGAGATAACAAATAATAGTTAAAACAAATATGTAAATGAAACTAGCTTTTACTTGTAATTGCATCCTTGTAACTAAGACGTAACTGGGATATATTTACTGACCAGGATAATAAGTAGTCTATGTCCTCTATCCTTTATAGTACTTGTATGTAACAAATACACTTTAATAGTTATAATCTTAGTAAGACAATGAAGACAATGTAAAGAATAAATTGTTACACTATTCATAACAGCTCAAAACAATAAAGCAATTATTATATCCTGTTATTTATTTTAGGTTCCCAAAGTACTGTATGTCACATAGAAACACAATAGAAAATGTTTTGATGGATTTTTTGGACTCTAATCATTATTATAATGTAATTGAAGCTGCTAAATGTGCACATGTATTACAGCAAGTAAGTCCAAATGTTTATAACATTTATTTTTAATAAAGCAAAAGTATATAATTACTTTCGCTCTATGGAAGTTAATTATGTATTTTTACATTGTGAAATATAATATGTATGTTACTATGATTGCAAGGCCCTTATTTATAATTGGTAGAAAAACACAAATTTATGTACTTTTTAAAATTTATTAAAAATATAAGGATACTAATGGAATCGAAACATAGTCCTACACAATTGTCTGTATACAAAAGTTTCAAAATACTTAGCAAGCTATGGAGAGGGCTATGCTTGGCTGCATGATATGCTACAAAATACCAAAGTCACTGATATAGTCCGAAGAATAAACAAACTGAAATGGGAATGAGCTGTGTACATGGCTTGAAGAACCAACAACCAATGGGGAAGAAAGGTTCTTCAGTGATTACCCCGTACAGGTTAACACAGCCTAAAATGACTCCCCCACTAGATGAAGTGATGACTTTAAGTATATTGCAGGGTATCTGGATGCTGAACTGTTCTTTATGGCAGTCTATGGAGGATGCCTATGTTCAGCAATGGACAGATAAGGATACTTTGTATTCGTCTATATTTACCTCAATAGATTTCTATAGAGTCTTTTAGAAAAATGGATATAACAGAATAACAACTGCACCTTATGGCAACCTCATAGTTATCTTATTATGTAGCAGTTTGCTATATATTGTATTTGTAACCAAAATGTATTTGTTATTTTCAACACGATTGATCTCCCACTATCTTATAAATTTTCTTTCATCTTGATGGTTTATCATTTATAGAAATTTATAAATGAATTATATAATTTGTTTATTTATTTACTCTTTATTGCACCACTTGAAGAATAGTACAAGGATAAATATATATTACACTTATGGAGTACAAAAGACCATCTTATCGCTAAAGCAATCTCTTAAAAAAAAGATGGTAGCTATTTGGTGCAAGAATCGTATCATATTTATTTTTTTAATTAATTGTGTAATTTAATGCATTATATGTTACATTGTTCTTGCATTTATTTAATTTTTTTAATACAACCCATAGGTACGTCCCACTCAGGAAAAAGGTGCTACACCAAAAAGTAGTTGGCGAGATCAAATGCAGGCATTGTGCAGTGCAGCATATAAACTAGTTGATTCAATATTTCCAAATGTTGTGGACATATATGGAAACAATGAGAGCTGTGATGATGTAAGTTTCTAATTTATCTAACTGCTCTGTATTTTTGTTGGAATGAATCTGAATTTTTTATTACTCATAGTGACTCTAAATAAATAATTTATATATATGAATCTAGACATATTTGATAGTGCACTCATAAAGAGTTGATAATCACATCTATACTAAATTAACTAAGTTACTAGAACTACTAAACTAACAAAGTAAAAGTAACAAATATAGGGATTCCAGCAGTCTCTATTACTTGTGAATATTAACATATATATATATATAAGCCACCCCTTCCTATCCCGTGGGTGTCGAGCCAACTAAGGGAGGTTGAAGGATAGACAGCAGCATTCCTCTTAAAACATCTCTAAAACTTGACTGCGATTGCCAATCTGGCAAAACTTCACAAGGGGGAGGCTTATGTTCAGCAGTAGACAGTTAAAGGCTGATATAATGATTAATCTATATGATGCTAGAGAATTATATAAATATAACAAACATATTAGAATTAAGTAACATAAGTATTAGCTCTACCACTATTCAAAGCATTAAATGCTTTAGCACAGAAATCCAGCACTGCATTCTCTTGTGCAAAGATTCTGTGGTTCAAATACAAACCGATATGACACTGATAAAGACAAAGAGAGTACCAGTAGAAATGCCATCTCTGCATGTACTACTTTATAACAAAGTATTATAAATATTTAGAAATATTTATAATACTTTGTTATGAAAACTGGAGATTTTGTTATAAAATATACCAGTCTCCAGTTCTCATAACTAATCGGACTATATTTATTGAATTTTATCCTTGATCTTGATCTATACAGATAAGTTTCCATACTGTAATTGAATATTGATCGACCAATATCCAATTACAGTATGTAAACCTTAGAACATTTTTTCCATCTTTGAACATTATTAAACTGGATATATGTGATGAATAAATAAATAAATATGTCTTTTTATAAAATAACTATTGGTATCACTGCACAATGCACAACACGCACAATAAACTACATTTTACCAGAGGGAGACTTTGTACAAAAGTCGATTGCAGTTGTGTTTGCATGGCTGTGTTTCGGTTTGAAGGGTGGGATATGGCATGAATTTAGTGGGTACAGAGGAATAACACCTGAGTCCTCAGGAATAGCAACGCATGGGGGGTATCATGGGCGAAACAGTATACTTTGTTATGTCCATGGTACTGCTCATGTCTATAGGCGACGGTTACCATTTTCCATCAGGTGGGCCGTCGGCTTGTTTGCCATTCTAAGTTGTATAAAAAAAAAAAAACATTTCTCTAATGTATTACTACATTACTGAAGTATGCAACTTTTTTAAACTTAACTGTTGAAAACATTTTAAAATTATCTCCAAATACAGACATACAATTTAATTTATGTATGACTATTTTTGTTACAGAAACAAAACACATTAAGTAACTCTCCACTACATTTGGCGCTGCAAAATATTGACAAAGTAAAACAACAGGAGAAGAATGTATCAAAGAGATCTATACTTTTCACGAGGCTTAAAAATATATTAGTTTTTATTCAGGCAATGCTTGTGTTAGTATTATTTTAATAACTACATTATCTTACTAATATAATAAAATTGTAACTAGATTATGTCTGGAATGTTCAGGGTTTTTTTTTTAATGCGTGATAATGGAATGGTAACCCTGCCTGTGCTATCAATATACGCTGGCGAGGCACCAGTGATAGATGATAGGTGACGATGAAAACAGGTCAGTTAGCCCATCGTGACGAATTCCACTATGATTAACCACAATGGTTTCCAGGGGAAACCGCGTAGAGGTCGACCTAACAGGGTATATTGCTAGCAATGGGTCAATTAGACCCCATTACAGACAATCCCTTTCCCCCCTAAGTGTTCAGAGTTGGAGTTGATACAAATGAAAGGTTGTATACTTGGTAATTCATTTTGTAATACGAAAAAAATATATAGAGACGACTGTATGCATATCTTGGATGTCAAGGTAAAGGTAAAGTCGGTAATCCCGCGCGTTACTTCCCCGTCCCGCTTGTGCATCTATGTACTTGATGGATAAACAGATTATATTTAAGAAATATTCATATTAATAAAAGCAATTCAACCCAAAAAATATTTTGTTATAAATTTTATCTGTCTCTGTGTGTGTGTGTGTGTTTGTGCCAGCATCACGCAAAAACTACCAAATTGAATATAGTTTCGCAATTGTACTTCTGAAGGTCTAACTTAAAATCTGGTACATGTTCTCTCATAATATGCCATCTAGAAGTATTCTCTTTTATTGAATTTCCTACCAAATATAAATGAAAAAAAAAATAATAAAAATCCATTTCGGAGGAGTGCAACTGTGTGATATTTTTGTATATATCCTAATTAAATTCCAGTTCTTTATTTAAAACTGTGTACTTGATGTCAATGTTTAATCTTGCTTTTTTTTTAAACCTTACAGAGAAATATATCCAGTAGCCAAACCAATTCAGCCACAGATAATTCTAAAAGTAATTGTGCGAATCTTAAGTGTGACAAGTATTAAGCAACCGAATGAGTTTGCAGCCAACATAGCCACAACCAAGACATACGCTCTAAGGACTTTGGACGCTTTAATTGCATGGTATGTGTCATCAAATTTTTCACTTAGAAACTACTTTAGAATAAGTATTATAATTAGCGAATTCATGTATATATTTCAATTATACTAGAGGTCGCCCCATGGTCGAAATTCGACCATAACATATATTGTAATAAATGAATTTATAATGGTTAAAACTTTTGTCAAACAACATTTAGTAAGACTATAGATAAATAATATTAAAAACAAATAATATTAATCTATTCTCAATTTGACCACAGACTTTAACAATAAACAAAACAGTATATGTATATGCATGTGTGTATCAAATACATAGAAATATGTATATATTTTTTTTTTATTGATTTAATGTATTTTTATGCATAATTTACTGATATTACTCATGCCTACAATATATTCTAATCTGTAAACTATTTTTTTTTCAGTCTGAATTCAAACCTAATACCATTTTCTGCCCTAGTCATTAGAGCCATTATGCAAACACTTAAATGGAGCACAGAGAATCCGTATAAAGAAGCAAGGTAATTATAACTCTTACAATAGTAATTAATACTCCTTTTTCATCCTGAGTTTACTGCAAGAGAACATATACAGAGTTAAACTCACTTACTTATACAGAGTTAATCTTTGTTCAATATAACTTATAACAATATAACTTTTTATGAACAATAAAATATAAATAAATAGTGAAAAGTAGGTGGTCATGGATAATATAGAAAAATTTTACTTTTTCTTATACCACGAAGGTAGCAAACAAATATACAGCCCGTCTTATGATAAACTAGGTATGGCACTTGAAAAACCCCATACTGTAGACTTTAGGGAAAACTTCGGCTGGGAGATCATTATACAGCCTGAACGTACACGAAAAAAAATTCTTTGAAACCGCAGTGTACGTGACCATTTAGGTTCAAGCGTGTGAGGATAAAACCCCTGTCGATGGCGAGCGATGCAAAGATAAAAGGTGGCTATCATTATAACCAAATTTTTCAAAACACAATCCGTTATACAAGCGAATATAAACTGTATATATAATAAAATAAACTAGCTTTTTACCCGCTACTTCATACACGTAAATGTTAGAAGTAGGAAAACAAATGGACTAAACCACTATTAGATGGTATATCGAGATAAATCATACCAGATTTTAAGTTAAACCTTCAGAAATACAACTGTGAAAAGCGTATTTAATTTGAGACAGTAGTTTTTGTGTAAAGCCGAAAAAAATATACAAACAGACAAACAAAATTGCCAAAAAAATTGTTTAGGCTTCTACAGAGCAATACTTAAAATCCCTCATATAATTTTTTCTCAAATATCTCCCAAATACAGACTTAGGCCCGATACAATTTTACTGTATTAGTAAAAATGCTTTAACACTTTTCTAATTTCCTTTAAAGCTGTACTTAACTATTAAACATCTCGTACTGTTTTCCTTTCAAATAAAATCGGAAAATTTCACTTCAAAATTTTCCACTTAATTTTTATAACTTTTTGATATAGCCAAGTCCGCTGCGCAGCGTACAACAGTTTCTCCAAATGGTTGACTGTACTGCACACACAACGCATCGCAAACGAAAGGCGAGGCGGCGGTGGCAGCTGGGATGACGAGCTCACCTCATACATACTCGCCGATATCACACCACAGCGACATCTGGTTCAGCTTACTGTGAGTCAACGTCAAATGAAAAGCATCTACATATATTATAATTATATAAATATACATACTTGACTTTTAAATATATACACTTGTTATACTACAGTAAATTTCCACTTTCCAATCCACTTTGGGGTGGGGGAAAAGGATTGTAAGTAATGAAGACTGAGAATCCCATTGCTAGCAATATATCCAACCAGGTCGACCTCCTCGCGGTTCTCCTTGGAAACTATCATGATTAATTCCTGATGAATTCATCATGATGGACTAACTAGCCTGTTTTCATTCTCATCTATCACCCTTCACTGGTGCTCCGCCAGCGTATCCCATTAGCGCAGGCGGGGTTACCATACCATTTTCACCCATCAAAAAAAAATCCACTTTGGGTTTGCTAGAAGAGAACTCTTTAACAGTTAAGCTCGCCTTTGTACATTTACTTACCTCTATCATATTTTTATGTTTTATCAGAGTGTACAATAAAGTATAAATTAATTAAAAAAAAATTAAAAAAGTGTCCTTCCTATCTATTAATAATATAACTTAATTGCTATTAGATGTCGTCGCAATCAACGAAGCATTTGAGCAAGAAAGCGAAAAGGAAATTAGCGAATTCAATGCTAGAGAAAAGTACAATAGCATCACATGCACCGGGAGAGAAAAACAAAATAGCTGTGTAAGTCATTTTTATATTATTATTATTATTTTTGTTGAAGTTCTTCTGAATTTGATTTATCGTATGTATTATTTTATACCGCATCATAAAAACACATTTGAAATAATGTTGTTTTGTTTTGAAAAGTTTTTTATTTATCATATTTTATTAAAAATATATTGATACATTTCAGTGTACGTTGGCCTCGAATTTACAATCAGCCAATAAATCGTTTGGCAAGTAATATGCACTCATTCAAACATTTAGCATTTAAATTTATTTAAAAAAGAAATATTGTTTCAGATCTGAAGAAACAAATGACGAAGTGGCAATTGCAGCATTAGAATGCGCTGAATTATTCCTCACTGTTTGTGGGATATTTTTGAAATCCTCCATTCATAAAGTAAGCAACTAATAAAATCGAATAATTTATTTCCTATAACTCCTATAACAATCGATTTGAAAAAAATAGAAGATTCTCAACTCAATATTTTCATTGATTTCAATAACTCTTTTTATAATATTTGTTTGGTAGTTTTATACAAATATTAATTTGTTTTTACTCAATTAAATTAAATGTGTGTATTGTTACTGCACAGTTGTGCTTAAAAAATAATTCTCAGATTAATTGCCAATTGTCAATATGACTTAAATATTTATTTACCCGTATATATGTTAATGTATTTGTTATGGCATGTTTACAGCTGTTCCAAGAGCGATTAGTCCGCGAATGCTACACCATCAATAGTTATTCCAGTGAACGCACTATAGCGCTGCTTCGCGCGCTGGAAGCGGCCCGCAAATCCACCGGTCCATCAGTACCGCCACCGACACAGTACTGTCTACACCTTTACAGCAATATGGTCAATTCACAACAGCCAGAGGTAAATAATAATTATATACACGGTGTAAGAGACAAGTTGGTAAAAAAAGAAACAGTGAATTCAGACCATTATTCCAAACTGAAAACCAGTGACATTCTCTCTGGAGTTTTCTTGCTTTTTTTTTTCATTTAAAATCATATAATTTAAGGTATTATGTCATAATAGAAATAAATAATAATATTTTATAGTGTAATATACGTATGAAAATCTTACCGCGAATTGCGGAATCGGCTGTGTAAGATCAACGCCACAAGCTTACAGAAACTACCTACGAAGAAGCGCTATTGAGCGTGCGGTGTAGGTATCATGTGTCGTATGGATTATAAAATTTCAAATACATTGCGCGGTGTCAAAAGTAAGAATCGGTAATTTGATGTAGTACATTTCCGGTGGGAAAATAATCTGCTATTTGATTGAGACCATTCATCTAAATCGGCTGTTTTCGTTTTGGCCAACCTATCCTTTATTATTCCACCCTGTATATGTATAACAAAAGCTCTGAAATATGACTCATAGATATGAATCAGATATTGCTGATCAAGTAATTGAACTTGAAGCTGATTATACTGCAGTAAATTTTGAAATTACAATTGAACAAATTAGTGCTGCAAATGAAATTATAAAACTAGTTTTTTCATCGAAATTTACTAGAAATATTTGATGACGAACATTGGCTACTTAAGAATAAATACATAATTTGAAGATTCTATGCATTCCACTTGATGAAGGTTTACCGTCATTGATTAAAAATCTTCGCGTGTTTGTGTATCAGTAACTAATATACCTATTTATTTAACAGGTTTCCAAATTTTGCTCTCAAGCTCTACTGGACATTCGACTACACCTCCACTGTTCACCGCCTTCGTTTAATTTTGCCGTAGCGGTTTCAGAAGATAAACAGAATAAAGTAGACAACAAGAGAAAAAAGATGTCAGAAAGAAACAGAGCTCAATTGGAAGCTTTGTTAGGTGCAAATATGTGAGTATTTTCTGAAGAGACAATTTTATTACTAGTATATTTATTAACAGTAATTTTTTGTTATATATAACCTTTTATCTCAAATATTAATCCTGTATCATAATTAAGAATCATTACTCTTTTAATATGTCCCTTAAAATAAAAATATCAAATTTTAATTTACAGGATGCCTTCAGAAAATTCAGACAGTGTTATAACCATACCAGACGAACCTTCTAAGAAGAAACCACGTTTAGAAGAAGATATTACTACTTTAAGCAGTGATTCTGTAAGCTCAGTGGAGATAAGTGATGAATCAGATGAAGATAATGTTATTGAAGTGATAAATGTAGAAATGAATAAAGGAAGTAATGAAAAAATTAATGAAGATGAAGAAATGAACAAAATGCAAATTCAGTTGCAAAATGAACCAGTAAAACCGACCTTTATTGATGAAGGCTCTGAAGATCTAGTAGAGAAACCTAAAAGTAATGCAATCACTGAGCAAGTAGTAAATGAGTCAAATAAACTTGTAAGTAATCCAAACATCATAGAACAAGAAAAGGAAATTGAACCTGATTCTACGGCAGTAAATATCGATGTTATTGTTGAACAAAATAATATTGCCATTGAAGTAGATACAACAAACATATATGAAGCCAAAACACAATTGCCCCTTAATATATCTAATGAAACAACAGATGGGGAAGAAATGGCGCTTTCTATTGAAGTAGCTTATGATTTGCCATATTCTGATAAAAAGGTTCCAGTATTAGGAAAAATGGACGACGAAAATCTACCAAGCACAAATGATACAGATGATATACAAATAACATGTGGACAAGTAGCCAAATGTTCTCAAGAGGCAGAAACGGAAAAATGCAAGATTGATCAGAATCAATCATCTCATCAGAATGAGAAAATCGATGAACCACCTAAAGTTAACGGTTTTAAATCACCAAAAAAAGTTATAAATGATAATACCTCGGTTGAAACAGAAAATATAATTAATAAAGTTGCAGCTAATAAAGAAGTATCAGTTGAAGATATGTTGGCCGATTTTGTTGATGAAGTTAACGACGAAAGTAATTGCATTAATTAATTAATATAATTTTATGAAGCTTAATTTTTGCATTGGTGCCAAGTTGTAATAAGTAAGGACATATATTTTTAAACCATATAAAGTGAATCTATGATTTCAAATGCTGATAAACTTTTATTGTTTGTTATAAAAGCAATTCATTTAATAAAATTCTGCTTTCGAATTATAAACAATTCTGTTTATTTAAAAAAGTAACTAACTACCCATAAACTTTATACTATAGATTTTTCTTAAATTTTTAATACTACTCTAGACTCCCTAGTAATATAGATCGAACGAACGATCTCCGACAAACGGGACCATTTACGAACTAGTCATAAAAGACAGGACTTATTATATTAGTTCATAATTTTATAACTTTAATCACCCTTCAGAAAAAATAGTACAGCATCACAATGCTTCTTAATCGTATTTAGATAATACAAAACATGTCAAAATATCCTTCAAGTATTCTGAAATTTTTAATTATAGCAATTGCAGCTAAAGAAAATCACCTACAAGATGACCAAAATAAGTCGCTGCTGTTTATTGTCACTTGTAAAATAGAAATTTATCCAGACTGGTTTGTATTTTTTTTTTTAATGAATGATAATGGAATGGTAACTCCATCTGCGTTAACAGTAAACGTTGACGGGACACCAGTGAGAGATGATAGGTGAAAATAAAAAGGCATGTCAGTTAGCCCATCGTGGTGAATATATCTTGAATTCAGCACGATGGTTTCCAGGGGGAACTATGTGGAGGTCGACCTGACAGGCTATACTGCTAATAATGGGATTGGTAGTCCGCATTACTAACAATATCTTTCCTCCCTGATCTGTTTGTTTCGTCTTCTTTCCTATCTAGGTATGTAGAGTAATTTCTTTGGTATGTAGATAGTATTGGGTAGGTAATAAATATATTCTTAGATTAGTAGTACTCTATACTAAATCGATGGATATATCCCTGATTACTTGACCGTTTATGATTTATTTATATTAACTGAGTAGGAAGTATCTACTGTCAATGTCAGACGATCGGCACAGTATTAAAAGATATTTAAGTTGCTTATTAATCTGTATGTTGTCGTAAACAAAAAAGTATCTACCTATGTATCTAGATTCAATAAAAGATTTGATTTTAGAACTTGTTTTTTCAAAAAAATAATGGTTGTAGCACTTGGAATCGAAGGAAGCGCCAACAAACTTGGGGTCGGAATAATTAGAGATGGCGAAATACTCGCTAACTGCAGGAGAACGTACATCACACCACCGGGAGAAGGTTATTTATTTACTTAATATTTAAAAAATCTTTAAAATGGGCTTTATTACATCATTCCCTGATTTATGCATCTCCGTATCTTTCTTAAAAGTCTGGACTTTAAAATAAACATAAACATTATAACTTCAGGTTTTCTGCCGAGAGAAACGGCTGAACATCATCAACAAAATATTCATGAAGTTCTGAAAGAAGCGATGAAGGAGTCCGGGTTGAAACCGCAGGATATTGACGTTGTGTGCTATACAAAAGGTCCAGGAATGGGTGCTCCGTTGATGGTCGGCGCTGTTGTTGCTAGAACTTTGTCCAAATTGTGGAACAAACCATTATTAGGTGTCAATCATTGTATTGGACGTATCCTTTAATATTTAATATATTGCTAAATATAAACAGTGCTTAGCTTGCTTGAAGGGAATGTAAGGTACTTATTTAAATTTAAAATTTTTATTATTATTTGTAAATATATAACAGCATTACTATCATTATTTTTTTATTTATTTCATTGCACTGAAAGTGAATTACCTAAATAATATTGTTAAATAGTAAAGATTTAAATGGAACAATATCTTACATTATATTCCTTAATTCTAAATTATCTCTTCAACAATTTTTTCCATGACATAATTTGTACAGATATTGAAATGGGTAGGTTAATAACCAAAGCAAACAATCCGACTGTACTATATGTAAGTGGTGGTAACACACAGATCATAGCTTACTCCAGGCAACGGTATAGGATATTTGGAGAAACTATAGATATTGCTGTTGGAAACTGCCTCGACAGGTTTGTACTGGCTATTCTTTCTGTAGTAATCTTAATATTTAAAAATCCTGTATTACATTGTTTGTTTACCAACCTCAGAAACTGTATTTTTAAATGGATGATAATGGAATGGTAGCCCCACCTGCGCTAACGGTGTACACTGGTGGGGCACCAGTGAAGGATGATAGGTGAGGATGAATTAGGTCAGTTAGCCCATCGTGACGAATTCAACGACAATTGTTCATGATGGTTTCCAGGGGGAACCATGTGGAGGTCGACCTAATAAGGCATATTGCTAGCAATGGGGCTGTCAAACTCCATTGCTAACAATCCCTTTCCCCCCAGAAACTGTATTGTGTATTGTTGGCTCCAACTCAAGAGGTAGGATGGTTTTTATACTTATAAGAAAAAAGTGGATCTAGTAAATGATAATATGGGCCAAAATAATATATTTGTTGATTCAGCTAATAGTAATATAAGAATCAGATTGTACAAGTTCTTTTATACATGATTATTATCAATATATGATAGGAATACCTACTGCAGATTAAAAAGGAGAAACTATAATTTAACTTATTAATGTCATAAAGTGAAACAATAAAATTTTAATAAATATGCAATTAAAAATATTAAAGGTAAGATTCAGTGACACAATGCTTTTAACATTAGGTCTGCCTTGTACAATAATATTGTACTAAAGAACAAATAAATGTAATTATTACTAATATGGATGGAAATAGTTTTCTTCCCTCATTCCTTATATTTGCAAGATATATACAAATGTGCTTAGAATATTGTAACATAAATAGAATTTATGAAATATATGTGACATTTTTCAGATTTGCTAGAGTATTAAAACTTTCAAATGCCCCAAGCCCAGGCTACAATATTGAACAAGCTGCAAAGAGAGGAAAGAAATATTTACATCTACCTTACTGTGTCAAAGGTACATAACAATTTATGCATAATAAATTCATCATCATCATCAACATCAAATCAGACTTTTCTGTCCACTACTGAATATAGGCCTCCCCTTTAGACTGCTACAGGAAGCAGTTCTGAGCAGTTTGCATCCACTGATAGTGTGTATGTATGAAATCAAGAAATTAAAATAATTTATTCATACACATAATTTACAATATTTTTCCTCTGGTTTTAGGCCACTAAATACATGTTACAGACCCTTTCTCTAAATTTTATTGCCTTTTTATTTGAGTTTTGCCTATATATATATTTTTTTAATTAACATACATACATATAATATTTATGATTGGTGTTTTTTATTGTTACAAAGGTTTTTGTTGCAGGCATGGATGTTAGCTTCTCAGGAATCCTTTCCTACATGGAGGACAAAATAGATGAATTACTTAAAGAGTATACACCTGACGACCTATGTTATTCACTACAAGAGACAGTATTCGCTATGTTAGTGGAAATTACTGAAAGGGCTATGGCTCATTGTGGATCCGATGAGGTGGGTTACTTCACAAAATTAAACTACCTGGTGTTCCTTTGTGATGCTATGATACGCAGGTTATGTTAGTATTTTTTTATCATAAGAACAGCAGTATAGAATGTGCCTGATAGTAAATAATCATGTTATGTGAAAGATTTTTCAAAATGTCTTTGTGAAATAAAGCAACTGCAAAAAATCTACTAAATGTTTGTAACACTTAAAACACAATATCCAGTAATTTTACTGCTATATTTCAATTAGAATTAGTATATCAACAAGCTTAGTCAGAATTACAATCTTAGACAGCAAGTTTTAGGTAATTTAACTTATCATTATATGGGTGAATTACTCCGAGCTGACCACTCTATTACAAATATAATACCCAATCACTTATATCTTTGAGAGTAGTATGCCTCTGACAAATTAATTTGACAAACATCTTATGTGGCTAGCAGTCACCTAGTTGTACTAAACAAAATATAAATTCAAGAAATTGGCGCCAAACTGATGGTGGATTATTGAAATAAATTTTAATTCATTTATTCATTTCCTTATATATTACATATGGGTGATTATTCTTTTTACATAGATATGACTTTGTATTGATTACACTTACATTAAACATTTGATTCTAAAAAACATTATAATTAAGTACCCTGAATATTCCAGGTGTTATTAGTCGGAGGTGTAGGCTGCAATGAGCGGTTACAAGAGATGATGGCAGTTATGTGTGCTGAACGAGGGTCCAAGGTCTTCGCGACGGACGAACGGTTCTGCATCGACAACGGAGTCATGATCGCGCACGCTGGCGCCGTCGCTTTCGAGTCTGGAGCTAGAATGGATTTCAATGAATCGACCATCACGCAGAGATATAGGACAGATGATGTACTTGTAACTTGGAGAAATGACTGAGTAAACTTTTATTTATACTTTGTTTTTTTTTTTTTTATTTAATACCAACATTTTTTTTACTGTACTTAGCACAATTCGTAAATACAGTGCATTTTGTGCTGTCTGTAGTGCCGGTTCATTACATGACTAAAAGCGACGGTTGTCACTCTTGGTCAGATCAGAAGCAATCTTGCTTTGTCATTTATACGAAATAACAGCCTAATATAAATTAAAAGCTAAATAAAATAAATTTAATTGATTATGTATTATTACTTGCCATTTTTATTTTTTATTGTATATATTATAACTAAAAAAATAGATGATAAAAAAAATTAAGAATCCGTATACTGATTCAGACAGCATCATCAGAATTTCCAGGCTGTTCCTCGACTTTTTCACTTTTTTTTTTTTGTTGTTTTTCATTGCAACCTTAATAATGATGTCTGGTTTTTACTGTAACTAGTCGTTTATTAAAATATAAATATAAACCATATTAATAAAAATATATAATATAGACTTTTCTGGTATTATTTAATTTATTACACCAAAAAAATAGAATTACTGTGTATATCAATTTTATACTTGTTTATACAAAAGAAAAATGCTAAAAGTTATAAAAACTTTATTTCGATCAACCATTTCAATATTTTTTTCAAAACTAATGGGGTCAACTTCGAGCAACAAATAAGTTTGTACAATGTTTGGCTTAATATAAATTTATTATTGCATCGGTTTATGATAAATTGAACATTCCACTGTTGTTGAAACACAACTCCAAGGAGTATTATAAGATTGATAAAACTTAACAATTACTTACATAATTAAGCTTATATAAATACATCATTTCACTCAAAATAAAATTAATCTTGCCAACACCAATAAATAAAACGAAAAAAATATGATTTGAAATTAATAATATAAAATACATTTGTAACACAAAAAACCCACAAAATATTGTTCTGGAACTCTCAAATTCTGTATTTAAACATGTCACTTGTTTTCATAAATACACAATACATTATTTTATTTATTTAGACCTATTTATAGCATTTTGATACATCGCACCCCTTAAAAGATCAAAACTCGAAATTTGAAATAATGTTTTAGTTATATATCAATTTTGTTTGACCATGTAATGTCCTAAGAAACACAATTTTTTTTTCTTAAATATAAAATGGTGCCATGTAGTCCCGGCATAGATTGGGCCACCCCCTTTCCATGGGTGCCGTAAAAGGCGAATAGGGAACTTAATAGTCAAGAGATGAGCAGCAGCATCCCAACTTTTGGCAAAATACCATTAATGATAAACTGGCATATGGAACGGCTCTGTTCTTTATGTCAGTCTATGGGAAAGGCCTATGTCCATCAGTGGACAGATAATGATTGATGATTTCTAAGGGTGTGACATCAATCATATTTTCACATACTCCCAAAGTTACAACCACGCGATTTCATTTTAAATAAAAATAATGACATTGATCGATGTTTCAATATCTAGTTTTGTATACATAAAGAAAATACAGAATACTGTATAAAAACAATAAGCATTTTCTTATTTTAAAGAAATTTTTCGCATTTAAGCATCTAACTAGCTACTTTGGTAAATCGTAATAGGACCGTAAAACGATTCATATTTGCATGCATCCAATTGATCAACAATTTAAAATTAAATGGCTGAAGTGGAGATAAATAAATACTGGCCAATTTGAAATAATTTTGGGTTAAAATAGTGAGTTTACTTAAATCATAGCAGTGTTTATTTTATATAAACCACCAACATAACCATACTAGAGCAATTATTTCTACAGAAATACTTCAAAATTTTATAATTTAATTTGAATTATGTCAAATTACAGAATTATTATAAGAAATATTTTGCTTAATTATCTTCGTTAATTTTGTGCTCCATTTATGGATTCTCATTTAGGAAATAGTCAATTAGATGAATGAACTATTTGTTATAATTATTATAGAAGTATATGAAGAATTACCATTTATAATTAATTATAAGTGGAAATTTCAGACCATTAGGAATTTTCTAAATAATATTAATTTGAGTATAGTTTGCCAGTATAATATTATAACACAATATAATATTAATATTATAAAGACCTCAATATGCATGGTGAAGGATCTGATCATTTGACGAAGTCATAAAGCGGCCTATACCCAATGATGGGTGAACTTGGACTGACATAGATAGATATAATATATTCAATGATTGCCCCAGTATCAATGTACATGATGGAAAGTAACATTTCAACAGAATATCTATGCGTCTACCAAAGATACATTATACATGTAAAATGGATTCTAGTATATCACATTTCTATGTTAAACAATTGTAACATAAATGACAAACATTTTGAGGTAATATCAGTGAACAAGATTGTTTCAACATATGCAATGTACAGTGTAATAGTACTGTTCTTAATGGTCAATACAGTCACACATTTGGCTGAACATGTGATCTCCAACTCTTTTGTACTGGGTCTCTCTGCATTAAGTCTAGTCACTAGTTATTATTACTTTGAGTCTCATAAACTATCATTCCCGTGTAGTCCAGTGTACATAATGATCCATGTAACCTGAAAATATAATGTATTTAAAATGTGATTAATGATGTCTTTATAATAATCAATTAATAAATCTACTAATTCTATAAATAGAAAAATTTATAAAGATGTTTGTTACCCAATCATACTTAAACCGAACTTTGAATTAAATGTAGCACAGAACTGAATGATATCTAAACACATAGGATACTTTATATACTGATTGACATGGATAAATTTACATAGCTACCTTTGAAAACAAAGAGTATAAAGAATCACTTATTTAAATGGAAAAATATAACAGTTTTCTACCAGTACTGAACATTTTTTCAAATAAATATGTATGGAAAATGTCAAAAAATTTGAGACTACCATACTAATTATGCTGAAAATTGTATATCTGGTATATAGATCATCACTAATTCTTTTAAGATAAGAATGTAGATAATATTTACAGCAATAATGGGCTGATATTATAACTTTTTTAAAAGTATTTAATATACTATTATATATATATATAAGGAAAGGATGAGCAGCAGCATCCCTCTTAAAACATCTTTAAGCCTAACTGCGGTTGTCAATCCGCCGGACAAGCATAGCAATTACTAGCAAACCCCCCAAGTGGAAGACTTATGTTCAGCAGAGGGCAGTAAAAGACTGATATCATGACATAAGATGAATATCCTCTATATATCTTACCAAAAACCCAGCAAATGAAGTCATAAATCCTTCTTTAGTGATCTCCCACATGCCACCATATTCCTCTTCATCTATACTTTGGAAATTGTTCACATAAAAGTATATCACTGCAGCATTCACAACCACAAATCTGTGAATGCATAATTAATAATCATTGTATAAAACATTTGTCAACAGTTAACACTATAAATACCATAATAATAAATTTCACAATGAAATACAAAAATTCAAAAGAAGGTGCTTAATATATTTTGTGTCTACATGAGGTGTATCTTTACTAATTGTGTACAGATTTTGTTTTGATATATAGAATTTACTCTAATACATCAAACAGTATTCTTTTTATTTTTTAATACTGTATCATGTCAATTAATGTTGTTCTTCATTAAGTAACTATCTGAGATATTATATATAAACAATACCAATCTTAAATTGAGTAAGAATAGTGATAGGGTTATAGGTGTTTCAAAGTAGATACAATACTCCTAAATATATACTTGAAATAAATCTTAACACAATTGAAATTTCATGCTAACGAGGTCGGATCTAGAAGTGATATAACTAATTAAAAAATAATAAAATATTTACAGTAATAACCCCACAATCCCCTTCAGCGGTAGAAGACCCCAACATAGGCCTAAAATTATGCCAATAGCTTGCCGCATCCAATAAATGACGTCCAAAAACTCTTCCTAAAACAAATATTGTAAATAAAGTTAATTTTGATAACTTTCAACAGAATTATATTGGTTTCCATAATACAAAAACTAACCTTATCTGGCCATTCTGCATTGGCAGTTAATGTCTTTTTCCATACTGATTCGCTTACTTTAATCTTATTGGCACCATCAAGAGATTTGTTTTTACTCGACATATTTACAAATTATGTACTTTTAATTTATATTAATATCATTCGCAAAATTATGCATACAAATCAATAAACTACCCAGAAATATTACACGTTAAACGTCAATGAGACACTAACTGACATTTCGCTCGTTAATTGCCAGTAAAAATAATTGTAAGTACAAGATCCAATTTTCTAAACATTCAATTCTCTTATAATAAAAATAAAAATTTCAATTTGATATTGAAACGAAATGTTTATTCTAAGGACTAATATGAACCTAATTTATACGAAATTTATCTCAAAATCTTTATAAATTTAGTTAATGTTCATTTATAAAATAGTATAATAATTTCACTAATCGACCTTATTAGGTTAAAAATAGGTTTAGAGAAATAGCGCCTCAGAATGGACAAGAAATATTGGGTATGGATGTATTCTTTTTCTACGATCTACCTTCGTACGAGCATGTAAATTATTTACATAGATATATAATTATAGATGGTAAAACGATTACTTACCTACGGATGCCAATATAAATAAAAAACCATTTATAATATTTAAACACCATACATCACAACTTAGTGATATATTTACGACCAATTAACCATGTACACAAACATATGTTCTAGTTCTACTGCTAGCAACATACCATGTCAGGTTGACCTCCAGGTGCTCCTCCCTGGAAAGTGTACTCATCACGATAGCTTAACTGCCTTTTCATCTTCCTTAATGGGGGTTACCCATTGGTGCCCCGCTAGTACATACCATTTTTGAAGTCGGTTGAAAATAAACAAGAATATTTGTAAACAAAATTTATTAGAAAAGAAATAATATATCATTCCATTTACAAAGTAGTGGACCTTTTGTTTTTTAATCTTTGCAGCCTCTGAGACTCCATATGCTTTGTCATGTCCCAACATTCCTTGGTCAGTGTATCGTGACCCCTGGACAAGCTGACCAGCCGAGCAAGGACAAGCAGTCGATGTAAATCATCTGCTGTCACTGAATCCTCGCTGTCCGAAGTCCTTCTCATCTCAATAAAATCATCTTCAACAAACTAAAAAGAAAATATTATATGAAATTTTTTCTCCAAATTTAATCATGTAATGGATTCAGATTGTCATATATTAATGTTATAAATAATAATATTTAACCCTGTAGTCCCGGCATAGAATGGAGCACTCCTTCCTTCCTGCAGGCGTCGTATTATTGGCCTTTATGGGGGGGGCGTATATTCAGCAGTGGGGAATTAACGGTTGATATGACGACAAGGATTTACCTGTAAATCTTCACTTATTGTATATTTCACAAGCTTAAGACTAGTCAAGTAGCTTCTAATAACATTCATGATCTCTTCTTTCAAATAGTATGTAGTGGCTTCTACGATTGCGTCAAAAATCTTGAGCGAGGACTCCTCTGGTTTGAGAGGGACATGGTAATCACTCTGAAATACAATTTGGTTCTTTAATAATTATTACATAACTTACTTCCCAAAGATATTTAATGTATGTAGCGCATGTAGGAAGGGCATAGAAATGTCATGAGCATATATTATGAAACAGCAATAGAATGACGTCATTGGACAAATAAAAAATGTTCCACCTAATTCATGATGCATAATAGTGTCATGTCTATTTAATTTGAACGGGTAATAATAATCCAAAAATAAAAGTATAAGTAAAGCGAGACAAAAAATATTTACAATCTTTCTAACATTTCCATGTTTCGCTTTTAATGGTTGTCTCGTTCTATCATTGTCATTGTGTGTCATATCTATAAATTACTTCAGATACTATAAATTACTTAATTTATAAATATAATACTACTGCAAAATAATGCTATCATACTCAAGCTGTAGGTTGTTAAATAATATGCCATAGCTCTTTTGTCTCATTCCTTAAAAAATTTTTTGGCAATTTTGTATCATCGATAATTTGCAAAGATGTTGTTTTTTAATTCAACATACATAAGAAAAATAACTAAAGTCCAATATCCAATAGTCCAATGTCGTAAAAAATAATAAAATTAATATTCACGGTTGTAATCTGAGATAGAGTAGAAATGAGTTATTTCGTGCTATCCTTAATCTATGTTTCGTCGACTGTTATATATAGTTGTAATGTACATAGCACTTGATACACATAAAAGATAGTCGATTTAATTTTACTCTGTTAGTTAAAACACCATAGTACATTATTATTAAAATATTAAATAAAATGTCTAATTATTTTTAATAAATAATTATGTATTTCTTTTTTTGATAGCACATCACATCAGCAAACAAACAAACAATAATATTTACAGCAAATCCACAAAAGTTGAAATGAAGTTGTTTCTTTGCAATCAACCACTTATTATTATTGTTATTGAAAGACAGGCTTTTTCAGGCATAAAAACCTGTAACACTGCGACTTTTCCATGATCTTTTGTGCTCGCCCTTTTATAAAATTCACTGCTAATTCTTATTAATGATAGGAATTGTAAAACGTTTTTTGTAGCGACGTTTTTTATCTCCTCAGGATAGTGTGTTTTCTAAAGGAGATATATCGTTTATTTATGTATAACTGGGCTACAGCCACAAATTAAGTGCTATGGCGATTCTTTCTCGCTGTAACAAAATCTGCATTCACTTTTTGGGCATAAGCCTAGTTGGGCCATATGCTTGTTTAGTTTGCAGTGTCCAGTGAGAGAGAAACAACCACTTAACTAGTACTAGATATACAAATAAAGCAATAACTTACAGGTAACAAAGATTTCCCTTCCGACAATATCAAAACAGGGATATCCGAATCAAATTCCATCTTGTAATATTTGAAATCATATTCCACCCTTTGATTTTGTATCATGTTGCCCAAAGCTGTTATATTGCCAACTCCGGTCGCATCTAATGTCCCTTGTTCCATTTTCGTCTCATCTAAAACCAGATGAGTGTGATTGCTCAGTTGCAGGACACCACTTGTTAACCGATTGCATTCATAGTCCTTCCTTTAAAAAAAATAAACATTAATTTTTTCATTATCTAAGGCAAAGGTCACAAAAAAGTTGATAGGTTTTGTCTATGGTCTAAATTTCCTTACTAGTTACTCAACAAGCATGAGTAAATACTAATATATTTTATTACTATATTTGTCTGTACCTGTCTGTGATGATAAAAAGTAGGTAAGGGTAATATAGATACTGATCCGATATCTCTGTATATTTTGGGTTCCTCTAGACATTGATGACGGAAAAAGGACTATCACCCATTTCGATATCACCCATATGGGTCAAATATCTATTTTCGAATATATTAAAAGTCTGTTATCCAATATTATATTTTCTATAACAGAATTTAAATTAATTCGTTATTGAACCAGTATATAAATATTGTAACTAAAATATACAGATATTGTTATATATTATCCACTCCTAATAAAAAATAACCTATGTTTTTTTCCATCCCTTATAGTACCTGTATATTTGGTTAAGCCATTAAGGCACTAAGAGGTAATAAGACAATAAACTCTCTTACACATGTATAACTTTAGTAAGGTTAGTAAAATAATCATCTTATCATCTACCTATACCACAGAAATTTCTAAAAATAGATAAGTATGTATACATACGTGAACAGAATATGGGATATGTCTATTAAAAAAATTGTCACTCACTTTGGCAATAATGCAAGTGTATTCATATTCTCTATGGTCAATGGTAGGTAATAACTTTTGGTCACAAATTGCTTGACTATATCATACAACTGTTTGGCGTAGTTCGGATACTTCTCAGTAGGAAGGTTGGAGATGTTCAAGCAAAACTGGCCAAGTGTCAGTGTGTCTTGGCGAAGATACCTGAAAACATTTCGCATCATTAAATTATAAAGTGTAAATAAAAAAAATACTCTTACGACTGTAATCTCTTGTTAAAAAAAATAAAGGGTTATCTAAGGCATCTGTCGACATGGCTATATTTGCGATGATTTTGGTGGGTTTGTGTGGACGAGTATACCACTGTCCTTTTTTTTGTTATATCATGATGGTGGGAAATAAGCATACAACCTTTCTAATGGTAAACGGTTACGGTAGTCTATGGACAGTTACAACACTATGTATGGGTGCTACGTGCGCGTTGTTGATCCTAAAGAAATTTTAATATAACCTCTGAAGAACCCCATACTGTAGTCTCTAGGGAAAACCTTAGTAGAGAGCTCATTCATTATTAATTTGGTTTGTTATCTGTATTTTCCATTACCAGAGAAAACCCTACAGGGTTCTTTAATTTTGATATGGGACTATGCCTCTTACTAAATATTCTACCATCTGAATAATTGTATTTTAACAATTTCAGCGATAAAATTTATATAATATATATGTAAATCACAAAAATGGCTACTAACACACTTGCAATCAGGTGGCAAATAAGGTATTCTGCAGCCAGCTGATCTCCCAACAGGAGTTCACTGAGAGCTTTCATCAGATGTTCTCTGGCTGTGCTTGCTTCCTTCAGCACTGTATCTGTAATTAATACAAACATAATATCAATAGAATATAAAACAAAAATTTTATTGTCCTTATCATAATCATATCAGCCATTATCTGTCCACTGCTGAACATAGGCCTCCCCATAGACTGCCATAAAGAACGCATCCACTAATTCCCTACAATACATTTGAGGTCGTTACTCCATCTAATGCGGAGTCGTCTTACATTGCGTTTTATTATGCTACTTATTAAAACAAGAACAAAATTGAGTTAAAGTGGATGGATACGAGGAGAGTGGAAGACCTAACAATATATAGATAAAATGATCAATCATCTTATTTAAGTATCATGATAATTTCACAGTCTACAATGTAGAAAGAGAATGCCATAGAAATGCTATGAGCGTATGCATTATGCATAAGCAATAGAATGAAACATTGAGCGTACATACGAATAAAAAATTACCGCCTTATTTGGGATGTAAGGTAGTAACATAATTATTTAATTTTAACATGTAATGTAAACATAATGCTTTTGACAAAAAAGATATTTGGAATATAGCTCATGATTTCTTTTGCTTATAATGAAGTCATTGTTACATGTAGTTTCTAAAACAAAAACGAAATTTGATAGTTTTAAGTCAAAATTATCATAAATTTAGTTTAGGATTATTATTAAAATATGTATTAGGTTATGAAGTAGGTTTGTTGACCCCTCTGTTTGAATACTGCAATGTGATAGATGCAGAATTAATATTGTTTTTATTCTTACTTTTATCAATATTGTCTTTCACCAATGGATTACAATGTTCCAATTTCTTCACATAAACAGCGTGAACTCGAGGTACTAGACTGGGTGGAGGATTATGTGTTATTGTCTCAGCATCTGTCTCTAGCTGTGGCTCCAATGCGTTCTTCTCAATTTGAAATTCTCCAGAAAGTGCCGGATCAACAGATAGGAAGCCTATAACTTCGACCATGTTGTTTAATTTTAGATTATCACTTTCATGGTATATCTGTAATAAATATAAAGATTATAAAATATGTGCCAAATTCCTTTATTACCACACATGTCTTCCCATGTTTTATGTCAGACAAAAAATAATTCTGTGTAAATTTTAGTTCAATCATAACATTAACCACTAAAATTTCTAGCTATAATGCATTGAGGTTTTTATAATCAGTATCTTTAGCAGACAAATAATATTCTCCAATGTATAGAATATTAGAATTTAATGTCATGTATTAATATTTTAGATATTTTCTTTTGAATTACATTTTTTTTAAATATATAAGTATATTTTACCTTTAATGGAGTCCTGAGGATCCAGTCTGTGTCTGTACATAGTATATACCATACATATACACAATTTTTTAAACATTACAAAATTATTAATTACAATTACATATCTTACTTCTCTCAGTGCTATTGTGGGAACTGTGTCTGTTTTCTACATAAATATCTATCTAACAGCTAAATGTCTTAGAATCTAAGATTTAGATTAAAACACATAGGATATTTTTTATTATAATTAGTGGAGGCAAAAGCAATAAGTTACCGATACTTTGAAAATATTTCATTATGAAAGATATTAAAATTTGTTTACCTTTACAATACATGATTTGCTGGGCATATCAGGTAAAGGAAAATTCAGTAAATGCTCCCTAGAAAGAACACTTGAGGTATCACTGACTGTTTCAGCAATCTTCATTTCTTTACTAGCTTCAGTCTCACCAACTTCCATAGCATTGTTATCATCCTCCGTATCATCATAACTCCTTTTTAACTTGGTACTAGACTGAAGTCGTCTAGATGTGTTTGGCTGTTGTTCTAAATGCTTTAGAGTATTATGTTTTTCTTCAATTTGTTGTGCCCAATCACTTAATCCTGGCATAGAAACAACGACCATAGTTTGCCTCTGGGCACCTTTGAAGTTTTCTGTATAGTTTATTTTTTCATTTTCCTATAAATTAATACATTATTTATGTAAAATAATTAGACAAATTAAAAAATAAAATAGAAAAACTTTAAGAAAACTGAAAGATCAGTGTATGTCAGAGATTTTAAGCATTGTTCCAAATTTAATTTATTATATAAAAGTTTGGTAAAAACAATTTTGGAATATGCTTCTACTATTTGGAATAAAAATACATATAAAATACATATAAATATGATAGACAATATTCAGGCCAAATGTATTAAATAAATGAATAAATGTTTTAAAAGTCCACACTACAGATGCATTAAAGAAAAACTTCTAAGTATGTCTTTATGTAAACCACATTCTGAGAGAGATCAAATATTTGTATACAAAACTATGGATAATCTAATTGAATCACCTTATCTGTTAAGCAATGTTAATATAAGTTATACTTTTCTTATAAAAGATTGTAATTATTATAATCAGCAGTTCTTTTCTTTAGACATGTTCTGTGAAAATCTAAACTTATATAAAAAACGTGAAAAAGAACTATGCACAAACTCCTTTTAATTTAAGAGGATAAGATTTTAAAACTGTTAATTGTTATTGTTATATTTCTTATTTTTTCTTTTTGTATTATTATATATTTTTTCATATTTTTTTTATAGGACTTAGAATGGCAAACAAGCTGACTTCCTTTATTTGATGTGTAAGTTTATTGTGGAAACTTCACTAATAATAATATGTTATAGGTATTTATTATTTTTGTATTTTAATTATTTTATGTTTCCCTATTAAAATGTAATAAAAAAAAAGAATTATTTTGATTTTGTAGGTAGATACACAAAAGAAATTTTTCATTGCTTAATATATTTTTACTACACTATATATTAAGATAACATATAGATAGTTTTTTTTTTTTTTACTTTCAACCTTTTTGCTTTTTACCTTTATAGGAATTATCCTTTTATAATCTACTATTCCTGTCCCTTTTAGTATCAGGGTAATTACAAAATACCATATAAATATAATGAATTGGTTATATAGCTGAAAAATCTGAGAACCAATGAAGGAGAAAGATTCTTGATCGATAATCACATAAAGGCAAACAGTGTAGGACAACACCCCTATTAAAAGGAGCAACAACCTTATACGCATAGTGGGGAATCAGTGGATGTAGGAGGTTCAGAACTATTTAGCAGTGGACAGTTAATTACTAATATGATGATGATGATGATGATGATAGAAACATCCGTTAACTTACTGTCTATACAAAAACAAATTTAATAATTACCAATACATTAGCTGTATCACGATATTTTCCACTTTTGTGTTTAACTTCTTTTGTAACTGTGTTATATACTTGAAACTCTTCAAAATAGAATTCTGGATTATGCATATCTTGGATCATACCTCGGAACCTTACTAGTTTGCTGTCTGCGAGGTTATGAGATGCATTGCAGTTTATTAGAGGTATCTGAAAGAAAATAGATGTTTTAATTTGGCATACATCTTATGTTTTAAATATACTACAGTATGCTATAGAAAGAATTATAAAGTTTTTCTTTTCTTATAACCCCATGCTATCACAAAAAAGGTATTACTACTAAGCAAGAAAAAAAAGCTAAAAAAAAACTGAGGGGAAATGTGATGTTCATGTAAAAGTGAAACTAAGGTATAAAAGTTTTGTTTCAAAAACCATAGATTAAATATATTTCATTGAAGTTTTGGAAATATTGGCAAGTACATTTAAAAAAAAATAATAATATACTTAAGTTTTTTTTATGGGGTACACAAAAAATGGCAATTAGCATTGATTGTATTTATGATGTCATAATAATAATTAATTATATTACTTTTACAAGGACATGTGGTCGCAGCATAGAATAGGCCACCCTTTCCTTTCCCTTGGGTTTCATAAGAGTTGACTATGGGAGGGCAAGGAATGGGCAGCAGCATTCCTCTTAAAACATCTCTAAAGCCTAACTATAGTTGCCAACCCGCCAGCTAAAGGTGGCAACTACTGGCAAAATCCTCCAAGTGGAGGCTTATGTTCAGCAGTGAACAGTTAAAGCCTGATATGATGATAATTTTACTATTATAAGGTAAAGGTTATATAAAGGTCAATTTTAATTTTCATCTTTTAAGATTAAGTTAGGGCTTTAAAACATTTTCTTTAATTAAAATTAAGATAAATAAAATACAGATATAATACTAATAATGTTGTGAATACTATAGACAAATATGTAGGTAACCGATAAAACACCAAAAAGGTATATTATATATCTGCATAAAACTATAATATATAGATACAGTAATTAGTACATACACAAGAAATGGCGCATCTGGTTTGTATTATAACTATTAATCTAGATAAAAGAAAAAAAAATCTAAAATTTTACAAAGGACTACACAGATTGAAACAATTTAGACGTTATTTTTAGTTTATAACAGAGAAGTATGTTCAACTTTAAATGGTAAATCATGGAACAATAATATAATCTTATTTCGTCGCCTAAATATTATTAAGACTATCATACCTGATACCAATTAGGTAAATTTAGCAACTTTTCCCGCCATTCTTCTTCGTTTGCCATCCACAGTTCGGGGGTGACAGAGTCGAAATCACAATTTAGAACATGCATTTTTAATGTAGGTATTTTGGGTTTAAATATTAAGGAATAAGTAAAATAAGATCTAACAGTATATTTAGGAAAATGTATATTAATAATTTTTGTTTTGTAGGTTGATATATTGTTGTGTTGATTAAGGATGACAGTTACTCTTACTTGACTTTCTTTTGCAGTCAGTCATAATCAAAGGTTATAATATTAATTTGACATTGGAGAATGAATTGACATCGACAATAATATCCGAAATAATACTACAGATTCAATTCTTTATCTACGTTTAAAACTGGAACTTTTTCATGGGATGAAAATAAAATAGTAACCCCATCTGCGTTATCAGTATGTGTTGAAATTTTTATAAAATTAAAAGCATCAAATTACAAAATACATAGTTATACTATGTGTTTTGTATAATATTTATTTTTTTTGTTTTTTGTCACGAGAGTTTTTTTTTTATCTATTTTTTACACATTAAATATAAAATACGAGTAAATAGAAAGAAATATTCACAATTTATATGTCTGTTCGCATAATGTGTCCTATAAAAATAAATTCGTTAGAATAATGGTAAAATAAACATAATATAATACTCATTCATAAGGAATTATTTTTAGAGGGTAGATTTAAAACTTTTGAAAGTAGGTAGAACAAATGACTTTGAAAGTCTAACTTAAATGCGTGGACAACATGGTGGACTAAAGATAACCGAAGAGTTGTTGAAATTTTACATTGAGTGATTAAAAGTTATTCAAAGTTCAATATTTAAATATGCATTGGAAAAGTACAAAGTTTATTTTGGCATCAACAGTTACAGCAGTTATTGCTTCTCAAGTGGTAAAAAAAGTATACAAGTATTTCTTCACATCGAAACAGAGCCCTCGATCTGAAGCAAATAATGAAGACACATGCAACGGGAAGCTAAGTATCAAGAACCGTGAAATAAATGACGTGATATTATTCTCAGATGATATTATTCGACACACAATTAAAGTCTCGGCAAATAAAGATATAACGTTATGTAAAAGTAGAGAATTAAACTGTGTCAAACTAATCAAATACATCAAATCGGCACGTGAGACATTGGATGTCTGCATGTATTTGATTACGAGTACTGAAATAGTTGAACAAATTATAAGGCTTGGAAAAAAACATATTTTAGTAAGGATAATTGTTGACAGTGATATGGCTTATACACCGCCATCACAAATTAAGAGATTAGAGGAATATAGTAAGTTGCAATATATTTGATTTTATGAATTGATGTACATACTATGTACACTATTATTTTAAAAACAATATCTATATATATCTTTTCTTTTTGCAGGCTTCATTCAAGTGCAAACTAATAAAAAATCAATACTCATACACCATAAGTTCTGCATTATTGACGGACCCAAAGCGATGAATCGAAAAAATATTTTAAAAGCTTATGCAGAAAAATTAAATGTGCACGCGAAATATACGAAAACGACTGTGAAACAATACTTGAACCCTAAACCAGTCAAAAGTTTCGTGATGTCTGGTTCATTAAATTGGTCAACTCAAGCTATGGTTTCAAATCATGAAAGTGTTATTGTAACATCTCACCCTAATATTGTAGGGAAATTTGAAAAAGAGTTTGAAAGTTTATGGGTGGAAAAAGAGCCAGTAAGTCATATTTTTAATTTACACCAAAAATACTAGGTAATAAAAATCTAAGTATTACTACTATTAGACATAAATTATTTATTAAAATTGTTGTTGTCCACAGGCTTTAATAACAGTACCCTGACAACTTTCAAAGATTGGAATTTTTCAATTTTGTAAGTATTTCCTAATGTCTCATTTTTAACGTTGTTATAGAATAGAATCTAGGACAATTTAAAAAAAAAAACATGAACTAGCGTTTAGGCCTTGTTTTTAATTTGTCAAAAATAGAATTATGATAAAATTTTAGAGCAAAATTATATTAAAGTTCGTAGAAAATATTATCTTTGATCTATGTAAAAGTCAGTTTAATATATACTATTCTATTTTGATAAAGAAAAAACATGATTATAAAAATTTTATATCATAGCGGCAAAGATAAACTAGTAAATAAATTACCAACCTTACTAATTTAAGTCTTTAGTATTTTTTTTTGTTGTACCGCGCACATATGACAGTATGCGACCATAGATTTCCATGTGCACTTCAATTTCGATCGATCATATGTTTTCTTTGTGTAGTTTTTTCAGCCGCTGTAATTCGAAATGGTTATAAAGTTCACGTGTTTAAAACGACTAATAATTATTTAGAAAGGTGTTTTTAATGGTTTCTCGACTCTTATTAGTGTACTACATGTTTTCATAACAAAATTTTTGTGGTGCACTCAGTTGCATTTTATATGTGCACGTGCTTGCATTTTTCAGGCTAACATAATAATATTTCAATAAAGTGAAATAGAAAAGTTTGCTTTATAAAAATTAACCTCTATAGTGTACTCGAATACGGTCTGGAAGGTTTATAATCGCGTTTTTTAATAAAAATATACAACCAAAAGTGTTAGGCTGGATTACTGTTAGTATACTTTGGTTATTTAGAACAGGTTATAAAATGATTTTTGTGTTCCGAAGATCTATTAAATTGGGTGTTGTGTTAGTGGTAAGTATAATAAATCGTCCAGTTTCGTGTTCATATAATAATATTACAAATTTTTAAATAAATAATTTATTGCTGTACCATGCTGAGTTTACATGAAATGTGCATTTAGTCACGTTGGCATTTGGCAGTTTATAATACTGTATTTATATATATAAAATACATATAATTAATGTAAAACAGTAGATTTACAATTAATGAAAGAAATAAATATTATTTATGCAGTAAAGTATATGTTGTTGTACTTATAAAAAATTATAAAAATTATAGAATTCAATTATTAATCATACATTTTAAATAAACATAATCGTAAATAAATATACATCTGATATAAACAAAGTTTATTTTGTAATAAAATATTCATTATTTAGTAGAGAATTATTACAGACCAGAAATTTCTTATACCAAACATATCATTAAATTTATTTAATAAGTGATATAATTTTTATAATTAATTGTAATATGTAAGTTAAACTAAAATTATTATCTAACTAAAATATAATAAAAACATTATCTAATACATAAACTAAAAATGTACATAAATATATATATGCATAATATTAATCAAATTATCATGGTTTGTTTATTTTGGAATATGTTTATTTATATATATTTTACTTATTACAAATCATTCAAAAGTGTTGATAATGTCAAGTTAAATAATATTTTATTTTATTATTTAAGTAAAAAGTTTGGTTAAAAAGTGTTCAAAATATTTAGATATTAATACATCATTAAATTATAGATAATATATGATAGATAGTATAAAATATATTATTTCCTGTGACTTTGACTGTGTGCATTGGTGTATAATGTATCCTATGTATTAAGTTAGGATATAGCTTATCCATGTACTAAATTTAAATGTGAAAACATTGTAGTTTTGCATGAAAGAGTAATAAACATCTGTTCACCCTCACATGCATTTATAATAATAGTAGGTTGTAATTTACAACTTCAAAAATAATTGAAATTCTATTGTAAGTTCATTTAAGGTATTTTTAGTTGTAGTAGATGATAAGTATAAAAATAACAATTCATTGTTATTAATAATTAATTTTTAAAAGTAATAAGGAATTATAACTTTTTATACTACTTATGAAACTGGCGACTCATCTCGTGGCAAATGGGAATCATTGCCTATAAACATGGACATCATTTAATGTCACAGAATATACTTGTTCAATATAAATTTGTTTTATTCCATTAATTAATATGGGTACAGGTAGTTAGTCTATGTTGTGTATTTATAAAAAAAAATATGTGAATAACCTAACTTTTTATTTTGTTACAGATAAATACACCGATGATGCAATACCACATGTGCAATAGTGTAGTCTGTGAAACAGATTTTAATTTAGTGAACCATCTTAATAGTATAAATTGTGTTATGATCGACCAATATAAAACGTGAAAAATATAGTGAACATCATAAAGTCGATTTTAAGTGTATTTAAATGTGCCATTGGATGCAGTGCTTCTCGTTAGATGGCGTTGTTGGAATCGTTGCTAAGCAAGTGTATTACTTGTTTAGCTATTCACCAATAGGTGGCGTTGATAAGCATTGCTTTTGCAGTGCTCTAATTTTGGATGGCGTCAGTGACATCTGACGGTGAGTAGATATAAACATGTTTAGTAAATTTCTGTGCAGATGTCGTTACCAGTTACAAATGTAATTTCGAATGATTTATTATTCCATTTTTAAGCTGTTGGTAGCGTTTGTCATGGAATTACCTTATGTAATTGCAATATTGTTTTGCGATAATTACCACAAATTACATAAAAAATTAACAATTAAAAATAATTCTTAAAACACTACTACACTACTGTACTTATACCATGGTGTTATAATATATATATATATATATATATATATATATATATATATATATATATATATATATATATATATATATATATATATATATATATATATATATATATATATATGTAACAGCATTGTTTCTCTTTCATAAAGTATGAAGTATTTATCCAATATTAAATAATTGTAATTGCATATAATTATTTGTTCGAATATTACGTATTCGTAGTGGAAAATTAGTATAACAATTTATTCAGCAGAATAATGTATTCGACGAATAGGTGTCAATTTCGCCTCGATTGCAAGCTTTAGCAAGTTACTAATTACTTACCCATGTCACAGATAATATAATACTATATGTCGAAATATGTCAAAGTCCGTTCCGCGTAAGCTTAATTCTGCTCGATACATACCCACCCAAAGGTGTATGTAAATCGTTTATTGTATCGGAATTTGGTGCTTCATTTGAATACGATCACCGGCTTCCAGTTAGAGACGCGTCGGTATGTGTAGATTCGGCACTTACCTACAATATTCATTTAATTTTCTCGTTGCGTCGGCTGTACATTTTGTGGTCCCGATGCAGCCTTAGATGCTTTGAAATTTTAATTTGATTACGAAATAGATACGTGCAATTCTAGTTGGTATAAATTTTTATACTATTATTTTATGTAGATAATTTTAATCACTATTATTTAAGAGATGGCATTGCCTGTGTATTGACGGAACTAAACACCTAATTTATACAATTACGTAGAGGGATTAATATGCAACTATTATAACTAATATATTTTGTTTCTATTATAAAAAATATTAATTCAATGTACTAGTTGCATAGGTTCCATACAAACTTTTTTGTTTGAAGTGCCGCGATTCTAGCCGTATATTTATTACAGTATAAAATTTAAGAGACGAATTTATTTTTTATTTATACGATTTAGGACTATCAGTGTCTATGGTCACAGATTATATGTTTGCTTTCTCTATCACCATGATCAAACAAGATGACGATTGTTCCTTTTTTAAAATTCGTCTAAATCGGACAGGTAAAGAGCACAGTATGATAATCCTTTTTTTTCTTTCGTAATAAATTAATAATAAGGTCGTATCAGTAACGTCTAAAATTGCTTATTCTAAATTACAAATCGGTGACATTTACTGCAAATATAGCGATAAGATAGAAGCTTAGACTGAAGTTGGACAATATAGCTTTATGACCACTTTTGTACACGTGAATTAATTCAATTAACACAATAATAAATTTTATGTATGTAGGTATGTTATTTTATGCCGCCAATAAAATATGTATGAAAACAAAATCTTTTTATTATACTATTGAAACGCTAATAACTTTCTTATTAAAAAAAAAAAACAAATTTTTTTCTTGTTATTATTACAGGAAGTGATATAACAAGAAAAAAGTTTTTTTTTTTACAATAAGATGCAAAGCTAAAATATAAAATAATCGTAACGCCAGACGAATAAATGTTTAGCATCGGTACATCTTTTTGTGATTTGTAACATTTAGCTGTTATCTTGAAATAAAAACCGTTTAACTAGCTGCGAACAGTTTCTTAACTGTTTAATATGCAGAAACTGGGAACTTTTATTTCTTTGATGCATTTGTTTATTCATAAATGTCACATACAGTTTCGTGCCTTGTTACAATAATTGACGTTATCTATGATCACATCCACCTTTCTATTACAACGAAAGAATACGTAATACGTTATTAAATTTTATAATTTCAACACCGAAATCCAGTGTAAATGCTCACAGTATTTAGGGGTTTACCACTAAGAAGTTTACCAGAAGGGAGACTTTGTACAAAAGTCGATTGCTTGGGTACCTCTGTCCCATTCGTGTTTCTACCGAAGAGCAGCGTGTTTCTGCCCTGTGTTTGCATAGCTCTGTTTCGGTTTGAAGGGTGGGATATGGCGTGAATTTACTGAGTACAGAGGAATAACACCTGAGTCCTCAGGAATGGCAACGCATGGGAGGTATCATGGGCGAAACAGTATACTCTGTTATGTCCATGGTACTGCTCATGTCTATAGGCGACGGTTACCGCTTTCCATCAGGTGGGCCGTCAGCTTGTGTGCCATTCTAAGTTGTATAAAAAAAAAAAGAAGTATGGGTGAGTAATATTTAGCAACATCTGTTACATATTTATATATTGACCCAATATCGGATATATTAAATACCAGTTATTCGATATACACGTATATCGAAATAAAAAAAAATATTGAAATGAATACACATATACACGATTGGTCTGGGCGTAATCAAAATGGGCGATGATCTTTTTACCGTCATAAATATCCAAAGGAACTCAATTTATAGATTTCGGGGTGGTACCGATATTATCCATACCTAGTAAGAAGGGCGTATAATTTTTAAATAAATTAAGAGTCTTGAAGCAGTCAATCTCGTGATTTTTAGTCTAATTTTAAACAAATTGAGAGCATAAATTTTATATTTTTATTATCTTTGTTAGGATCTAATATCACGCAATGTATGAATATCAAAGCCTTTGTGAACTTTAAAAATCCGTTAAAGTACTATACATTTAAGATATTTTTAACTATAAATGAATGTTTTATGTTGTGTTATCATTAAAAACTACACCTACTTCATATTTCGCTTTGGAATTTTTCAAATATATTTAAGTATGCCACTAAAATCCAAATCTTTTGTGACAGCTTAATAAGAATTCTGTAGCATGATTAAGGTTTTGGTTTGCTAACAGAGAACTTTTTAAACAATTAATAAAAAATATTGAAAATGTTGCCATACTTTGTTATGACCGTTCATAACCTCTTCGTGTGTGTTCTGTAGTTTTTGTTGAGATGTTATTCCTGGTTCATATTCTGTCCGCAACACTGTAACACGTTCTAAATGTAACTTAACCCTTCGTCCAGACTAACCTCGCGTGTGACTCACGTACCATTTAACATATAAAATGTCTTTATATTTACAAACAAAGCACTGGGCGCACCGGACGTTGTACAAAAATGGATAATGTTTAAAGGAAGTGGAAGCAAACGTCGATTATACAAAACGGAGCTCATATTAAAATCACCGATTAAGCTACTTGACATTTCGAGTCAATGGTTATATGTTGTTTAGGTTGTTGACACACAGCGGGCGGGTTAACACTATGCGTGTTAAAGTCCTTAATAATGTTATGTGAAAGCGTGTTTGTTTGTTTGTTTGTTACCTTTTGGCGATTAAATTCCTCAACCGATAGTCAAGAACTTTGGCATACACGTACTATTTGCGGTGGAGAACATAGGCTCGGTGTTATTCTGGACATTTAATATAATCTCAGTCATGTGGATGATGTCGCAAATGAAAGCTAATACATATACCGCCTTATTTATAAAAACTAAAACGTTCTGCAAACTTATGTTGACAATTATGGTGTTTTATCACTAACTTTCAATTTGAGAATTTAGTGCAAAAAAGGAACAAAAGTTAGTGTATTTAAATAAGGGGGATGGATGGATGGATGGGAAGGAGTCTTAGTGAAATCAAAAGTCACTAATTATTAAGATTGATTGATTAAAGTTACAAGTGTCGATGTTAAGGACATTAGCAGCTTTACTAATATTTATTTATTTATTTATTTATTTATGCTTTATTGACCACATTACAAAAAAAAAATGTCTGGTACAAAATAATATAAATGTGATGAATAGGAACTGTATTGTATTGTAAAATCTTTATTGTACATAATTCATACTGAATACATTAAAAGATTTAATATACAATGGCGGACTTATTCCATAAAGGGATCTCTAATAATCATAAGGAATAATGTTTTTAAATTAATCACACTTAAATTGATTGATTGAATTTAAGTGAATTTTGCATTTTTATCTTTATGTCGCGAACTGTAGTAACATATTATATACCGGATTAAAAAATCTGCTCGACCTGTCCCCTGTGTGTCATCAACTTTATGGTTAATAACCGCTTCTTATAACGACTGAACACGGCATTAATCGGTAAATAATAATTATATAAAACCCCATCTCTAATTTACTCACGGTGAAAGTTTAACGCACGACAGTTTTAGCTTTACAAAATAATGATATCATATTACAATGTACACTCGATTATTTTTTATTATTACTTAATTAAAATCTTAATTACTAATTCCATTTTTTATTTCTCTTCATTATTGTCTAGTTGACTTGTATCTGTGACTTTTTTTTTTAATGTTTGAAAATGGAATGGTAACCTCGTCTACGCTATTGGTATACGCTGGCGGGACATCAGTGATAGATGAAGATGCGTCAGTCGGCTTATCGCGAAGAATTCGACAAGAATTAACCACGATGGTTTCCAGGGAGAACTGCATGGAAGTCCACCTGATAGGTGATTAGATTGCTCGCAATAGGGCTGTTAGAACCTGTGACTATCAATCGTGTCCCCCCCCCCTCCCCCACTTGCGACTTCGTACTTGTGCCTATGTTCTTCATCCCGTATATAAAAACCAAATTTAATAGTGATTGTTTCTTAAGACGCCAATAGGTAACAGTCAAACAAACTCCCTTTTACATTTGTAATATTAAGCAAGGATGTAGCCAGTAACAGCGTTTTAATGATTAAATAACATTTGTATCTGGCGTGAGCTATAAAATCCGTTAATAATAACGCTCTACTATTTCGAGTGTACTTAAGAACATTTTATTGCGCCGAAGTAAGCATAATAATAGAGTTTGCCGCTCATCGGTTGCATATTCACTTATCCATATAATTTACGACCAATTTGTAAGAGTGGC